GGTGCTGGTTGTTGTTGCTGTTGGTTGGTCCACCTGAATTCTGTCTTCACTGCCTGCGTCTTCAGCCATTTTGTTGGTTTTCACCTGCAAGTCTTCGATTAATAAGTTGCTGTATATATTTCTAGATTATAAAATGAGATTATAAGTTCGTTTCTGATGTTTATCTCTCTTCACACACAACATCTGGGCTAAATATAGTATGGATGAATGTCTATATTTAGTAACCGTATGATCATAAATTCTTGTGAAATATTCGAACAAACAGGATGTTCAATATCCGATAAGATGATTTTAGCCAACTGCTTGCAAAAATCGAAATAATTATCAACCAACAAGAATGTCAGTTAACTGAGTCAAAGACACACATCCCCCCTAACCCTGATTACAGACTTCACTGTTCTAAATAATATAACATAGATCTCTAGAGTTGGTTTGTGAGGATTAGATTTGTTTATACAAGTTTGACCACGGTTTGATGTCAGTTAGAGAATTAACCGTTGAAAACCAGGGAGTACTGGACAGCTGTTTCATCCTAATCTGGGAATCATCGGTAGTACTCACCCACTGCCACGGTTCTAGCCCAGGGCCTTCTGGTGACAAGGCAAGCTGGCTCGTATGCCATTCAGCCACTCACTGGGACCCGATTCAATAGCCAGCCCATGAATTATAATTTCCACCAATTCGTCATTTAGCGCGACCCCATCCAATGTCGTCAGTGGGACATCCATCCTTACACATGACTGAATGGACCTCACTGGTCACAACTTCCCACTTGAACTCCAGGAAACTTCGTCCTGTAGGAAGTCACTGTGAGCATCAGATTAATTTTCAATAGTTGGTTTGTTAGGATTAAGTTTGTTTTTACGAGTTTGACCACGGATTGATATCAGCTGGAGAACCATTAATGGTTCCCAAACTAGGATGAAACAGCAGTCCAGTACTCCCTGGTTTTCAGTGGTTGACTCTCTAACTCATAGCTGTCCGTGATCAAACTCTTATAAATGACATAGTTCTTTCTGAGAAGTCAAATGAAGAATAAAGGGTAGTAACAAAGAAGAAATGAGTTGAATACATGGATTGATAAATCGTAAGAGAGGAGGCTGAGCTACAGCAAAATATCTCAACTCCATCAAACGAAGAACTTTTTCTTCTAGAAGTCAACATGGATGTGAAGAAAAACTGATATGAAGATAGGTGAAATGTCTGATTTCTCATGGCAGTGATCCAGTACACACAAGTCTTCTTCACACTTAAAACTAAAAATAGCAGTCTGATATTTAGAGGAGTTCAGTTGAAGAACAAATGAATAAGACTATTCACATTCGAATATTCTGTCAGTATGCCTGTGTGTTTGTCTTGTTACGTAACATTCTATTCAATTTTGACCTTCAAGTTTCTAAATCTACTTAATTGTTTGTCTGTTTAAGTTAAAAATGTTACTTCACTATTCACCCCCACGCTCTTAAACTCTCCACCACAAGATATGTAAATTCACTCTGTTCTCTGACCCTGAACCTGTAATATGCCTCTAACCAATCTGTGTTGTTTTCCAATAGAAATCTGAACTCTTACCCCTCTTATCCAATTCCACTATATATAATTAGTTGTTTTTGACACCGAATAATCTGTCTACCTACATCAAATTCTGGAATTATGTTCCTTATGCCTTCTATCTATAACTCAAAGTAATTATGAAAAAGTATGTTCCACAACAGCTATACGACAATGCTGCATGCCAAGTAATGCACAACGGGAAACTTACGGAATCCTTCGAAGTGAGGAAAGGAGTAGGACAAGCTGGCTGCCTACTATCGCCAATGATTTTCTTGATTGCAGTAGACTGGATAATGCGACAAACAGCGGACAATGAGGGAACAGGCATAAAATGGACCCATACAAAAAACTTGGAGGATCTGGACTTCGCCGATGATATATGTCTGATTTCCCACAAACTGGAAGACATGCAAGCGAAAAGCAACAAGTTAGCAGAAGAAGCATCAAAGATAGGAATTCACTTCAGGTGAACATAGAGAAAACAGAGGTGATAAAGATTCCTGGGCAACACCACCGACAGCAACAACAACAACAGACAACGATCAGCATAAATGGGAGGAACCTGAAAGAAACAACCTCCTTTACCCACCTATCTGGGAAGCATCGTTTCAACTACAGGTCGGCGGAACTGACGAGGATATCAAAGCAAGGATCGGAAAAGCAAGACAAGCTTTCACTACTCTCAAGTCTGTGTGGAGGTCAACAGCACTCAGCATCAAAAATAAGATCCGAATTTTCAACTCCAATGTGAAGTCAGTGCTACTATACGGATCAGAGACTTGCACTGCGCGTCATAAAGAGCATCTCAAACAAACTACAGACCTTCATTAACAGTTGTCTTCGCTCAATACTCAAGATCGGATGGCCGGCCATGAAAGATCAGCAACAGAGATCTCTGGCAATGAGCGAACCAACGCAGCAGGAACCAATTTTGAAACCAATAGGCAGGAAGAAATGGAGATGGATTGGCTGGCCATACTCTGAGGAAACAAACCATCAACTGACATCACTAGACAAGCCCACGAGTGGAACCCGAACGGGAAGCGGTGAGTTGGTCGTCAGTGCTAGGGTGGGTGACTTGGAGGAGGTCATGTGAAGAGGAGATGAAAACGTGTGGGCAGACTTGGAGCCAGATGAAGACTCTAGCAGAGAACCGAACGCAATGGAGACGCACGGCTGAAGCCCTACGTTCCTGTAGGAATTAAAGGATACAATAATAAATAATAATAATAATGTTCCACAACTTTCTTGAAACCTATAATTTGATTTTGTTTAGGATGTATGCAGTTGATGAGAATCTACGAACTAAGACGAGTTCGTATTATCCTGCAAACATTTTTGTTCTTTCTCTCTTCAAACTAATAAAGGGAACCGGTTGCATGAAATCTAATAAATAAACAACTAAGGTAGCAACGGTGAGATCTTCAGTTCATTTAAAGAAGTTGCCTTTAAAAATATGGTAAGTGAAGAAAGTACAGAACCTGGAGGTACAATGTGTTCAGCAAGCAGAGAAGTGAAGCGCTTACCGTTTTAAAACATTGCGTCGGTTTCCACCCAAAATATTGGAAGACAACTAACTACTTTATGACCTGGGGCTTAGTGTGCACTGAGGTCAGCTTGGCTAGCAAAAATGCTGTAGAGACAGAGTCAGAAGCAGCAATTTAGTCTAAAAAAGCAGCACTTTTGCTTAAACTGGAAACCATACTCTGGTGCAGTGCGATGCGAACATTTTAGGTGTACCTATTATGGATAAGATTTTATTTTGATAAATCACACAGTGTTGTACAGTAATATTAACTGATGACCGCCTTTCGAGTACAAATTATTGCTCACAATCATATCAAGTAACTGACGTCATCAGTTAATATTACTGCACAACACTGTGTGATTTATCAAAATAAAATCTTATCCATAATGGAGTTATAGTATACCGCAGTGCCCGAGTTTTATACTTATATTAATAAGGTATGTCTAATACATTTATAGGCAAACTGCTTACAGACATTTAACTATTTTAATTAAGGTGTAGGTATAAGTATGTTTAAGAGACAAGGGTAATATATATTCCTGTGAAGTGATTCATTATAGATTTTTGTGGCAGGATGAGACAAAATATATGCACTCACTGGGAACAAAATGCTTGGTACACTATCAGAAACAAGACTGTGTGACCAGTGGTGTACATCAGATCGGGTGTGAGGACAAATACTCTTCGTGGGTGACACTGACTAGTGCCATTCGCTTTATATCGTAAATTCTCAGAAGTAGGAATATATGAGATATTGGATCGGGTCCAACTGGCTTAATGTTGATTGTAACCGGAAGGTCCTGGGTTCATCCTCCTGTGATGGATTAGCATTGCTGAAAAGTCCCGAACCAGGATGAAACAGCTAGGTGTCTAGTATTCCAGTACTGGTTTTCCAATGGTTCTCTAAATGATGTCAACTCATGATGAAATGCTGTAACCAATCAAATCAAATCCTTGCAAATCAACACTTGAATATTACCCTGGAATTACTGTCTTAATCTTCATTCACATTTGCACTGGACACATTTACTGTAAATAAAGTGGTAGATATTAGCCTTCTTCAAAATTTGTGTACTTTATTATTATTATTATTGTTTCCTTTAATTCCTAGAGTAACATAGGGCTTCAGTCGAACGTCTCCATTGCTTTCAGCTCTGCTATCGTTTTCACCTGGCTCCAAGTTTGCCCACATGCTTTCATCTCTTCTTCACATGACCTCTTCCAGGTTGCCCTTAGACCACCAACTCACCGCTTCCCGTTCGGGTTCCACTCGTGGGCTTGTCTAGTGATGTCAGTTGATGGTTTGTTTCCTCAGAGTATGGCCAGCCAATCCATCTCCATTTCTTCCTGCCTATTGGTTTCAAAATTGGTTCCTGCTGCGTTGGTTCGCTCATTGCCAGAGATCTCTGTTGCTGATCTTTCATGGCCGGCCATCCGATCTTGAGTATTGAGCGAAGACAACTGTTAATGAAGGTCTGTAGTTTGTTTGAGATGCTCTTTATGACGCGCAGTGCAAGTCTCTGATCCGTATAGTAGCACTGACTTCACATTGGAGTTGAAAATTCGGATCTTATTTTTGATGCTGAGTGCTGTTGACCTCCACACAGACTTGAGAGTAGTGAAAGCTTGTCTTGCTTTTCCGATCCTTGCTTTGATATCCTCGTCAGTTCCGCCGACCTGTAGTTGAAACGATGCTTCCCAGATAGGTGGGTAAAGGAGGTTGTTTCTTTCAGGTTCCTCCCATTTATGCTGATCGTTGTCTGTTGTTGTTGTTGCTGTCGGTGGTGTTGCCCAGGAATCTTTATCACCTCTGTTTTCTCTATGTTCACCTGAAGTGAATTCCTATCTTTGATGCTTCTTCTGCCAACTTGGTGTATGTACTTACTGTTGTTGTTTTTTCTTTTCGTCAAACTTTTAGAAAGTTTTAGAATATTTAGAACAATGGAAAATTGAAATAGCACTGGCTACAAGAGAAGAAGCAATACTGAGACGAAGTGAAACAGACAATGAGTATTTAATGCAAATGAAACTACACGAATCGCGTATACGTCGAGTTAAAGAAGTAAGTCTCTTATTGATTTTTAAATATCAGGAGTATGAAGGCTGAAAGAATGTCTGCCTGTCATAGGCTTGTGTCTTTATGCTTATGATTCTATATCAACTTGAAATGCAGCTCATTAACACCAGAAAGGACAGACCAGACAGAATCATGATAACATCCTGTGAGGTCATTGACTGACTGTCTCAAACGAATAGAGCAGTGTAAGCAGTCCTTCTTCATATAAGTATAAAACTTGGACACTGTGGTGGTAGAGTATAACTCCATTATGGATAAAATTTTATTTTGACAAAGTCACACAAAGTGGTGTTATACAGTAAGTAATATTTACTGATGATAACCACATTTCGAGCACAATTTATTACTGCTGCTCATAATCATATCAAGTCACTCACACAACATTCTGACTTCATTTATATGCATGAGTAGAAATTGATGATTAGACATTTGAGTAAAAATCAATATAAGATGAAGTACATTCGGAAATGATAATAATAATATTAGTGTTATTGATCAAATACAATTAGATGTGGATGACACTTTCACAGTGTTAGCAATAGAACATATCTAGCTTCTTGAGGCATATAAACCCACTAGTGAAGGGAATACAATTTACATTTGAATCGGAAAATGAAAAGGGAGAATTAGCTATGAAGTTAGATTGCAAAATAAAACGAATAGAAGAAGGTAAACTGCACACCAGTGTTTATAAAAACAAGAGCCAACGCATTCTGCTAATAGATATTTAGACTTTAAATCATCACCTCATCCGTCGTTGTCTGTGCAGGCAAGCTTAGTTGTTAAATGTCTTACAAACAGAGCAATAACAACACTAAGTGGTACAACAAGAAACCTAAACGATGAAATGAATCAGATAGAAGAGTAGCTGGTTGGTGTTAAATAACTAACTATCCTATAAAATTCATTAGGAATGTCAAAGAAGGTTAAAAGCAAACTAAAAATAATGGTAAAACTAATAATGATAACACAAATAAGAAAGAATATAGGCATCTACAGTAGTGTTACCATATAAGGACGGGACACCTGAGACCCCACGTGGGATTCTCACTAAAGCAAGAATTAGAGTAGCATTCAAACCTATAAAGTCACTCAGGTAGGACAAGTTCCTATAGGCTACAGGACTCAGTGGGTTCACCCAATTACATAAAATAATACAATTCACAAAATACCTTGTAATGACTGTGAGTGAGGTCAACTACATAGGTCAGTTAAACTAGTAGATCAGGAATAGTCAGATTATCAGTACATAATAATTTAGCTAAAGTTAGAATGATTGACCGCATGAAGGCAAATAATTTCGAAAAATGCTCAGCAATTGGACTGCATGCATTAACACACAACCAAGCAATAGTGTGGGTAAGACAGAGTTAAATTTTTCAAAGGTAATATAGGTAAGTTTAAATTTATAAAGTCCACGTTATTTCTTTTAATTTCTCTGAAATTCAATCAGTTTAGTATTATATTAATGCATACTGTAACGGGAGAAGACACTAATATTATTACTGCTGAATGTACATTATCCTATATTGATTTTTATTCAAATGTCTAATCATCAATTGCTACTCATGTATATAAATGAAGCAAGAAGGTTGTGTGAGTGACTTGATATGATTATGAGCTTTAATAATATTTCTGTATATCAATATTACTGTATAACACTGTGTGTCAAGGAACTTAACCCTGAGTTCCTATGATTTGCGTAGACGCTCAGAATCGACAACTACTAAGTATGATTGGTTACAGAATTTCATCATGAGCTGACATTAGTTAGAGAACCATTGGAAAACCTGGGAGTACTGGACAGCTGTTTCGTCCTAATTTGGAACACTTCAGCAGTACGCATCCACCGGGGTTCGAACCCAGGACCTTCTGGTTACAAGGTGAGCTCGTATACCATTAAGCCACTGGCACCCGATCCAATGGCCAGCCCATGAATTCTAACTTCTGCCAATTCACGACATAGCGCGACCCCTAGCCAATGTCTTCGGCGAGTATTTGTCCTCACACCCGACCTGCTGCACCCTACTGGTCACAACTTTAACTCCAAAGCATAAACACAAATAAGAAATTGTATTCTTCGGCAGTTAAAATGAATACTCTCTATGAAGTCTGGAAACAAATGTTTTACAAATAATGAATACTACTTTTATTCGTATTCTTTCGTCTTCTTTCAACTTGTACACGATTGAACCATTCGCACCTTCGAGTTACCCGCCATTTGCTACCAAGGTCAATGAACCAACGTTCAATGTTCATATTCCTTAACACTGTGATTTATCAAAATAAAATCTTATCCATAATGGAGACATATAGCTCTAACTCTCTGACTGAGAGTCTTTACTAAATTTCGTTTGTATTTGAGGGGAATGAAGCTATGAAAATGTGTAAATTGTCCTGTGAAAGTACTTTTTCTATGCAAATTTCTTTTTATACGGTGTGTTGTGTTATCTTCTTTTCAGGATGTGGCCAATGTGAGACAAGCTGAATTAGCCCTGCATCAAACACGTATTGAAAGGCATATAACAGCTGTCTCTTTAATACTTAATGAAATGAAGTTAAATGCAACAAAAGCTTTAATTGAAACGTTGAATAAATCAGAAGAACAAATGGCTGATGAGATTCAAAAGTCAACAGATAAAACGATTAGCAAAGCTACAAAATCATCCACGTAAGTTAGTTGGTCAAACAAGATAGCTTAGTTAGTTTTGATTAAAGAAGTATGATAGTTGTCATGATTATGGCTGGTGACTTTAAGAAAACCAAACGATTTGTCTATTATGGATAAAATTTTATTTTGATAAAATCACACAGTGGTGTTATACAACTCTTTAGAACTCTTGTTTGAAACTGACAAATCATAGTAAACAAAGTTATTTCAGCGTAGTTGCGTTCTTCTTACCTGGGTGGTGGTTTATTTACAGACCTTTCATCGTCTTCCTAGACAACATACATCTTTAGCGCATACACCAATTTTAAGTGAGCTGTCAGAATTCTCCATGAGTTTATTAGCCATTTCGGCTATTAACGTGACTAGTAGTTCCTGGATATTGTCTCACTCTCTAGTTCACTTCTATTGGTATCGATGATTGTTTCCATGACCCGAAGTTTGACATTTTGGGCGTGAGATTTCCTTCTTATCGGTTGGTAAATCTTGTCTATGTCAATGCGTCTTTTGATTGACTATTCACTGGAATACCAGGTTTCTAAAAATTCTCTGGCATTCTTGCTGTTTCCTCTGTCTAATATTTCAACGTTGTCCCAGTCAGATTGGTGTCCGTGTTAGTCTGTATACATTGGTGTGAGGGAGTGAATGCCGTGTCATCTGACGGTCAATTTATGTTCATGGATGCGAAGATGTACACGGTATTCACTTTGGCCAATGTAGTGTTTTTCTCAGCCGTTGTAACTTATTTGGTAGATGATGTTAATTTAATCTTATTTTCCACTGCTACTCACCATCCACAAATTAAATTCTAATTAAATGGCCAGACATCATCGAAGCATCTGCAAAAGAAGCCAACATGTCAACCTGCGGCCGAGCACTTCGGTCCAATCAATCGACGGGAAAATCTAAAATTCAGTTAAATTAACGATTAATACTCAATCCACCAAACGAAATCGTGAATTCGAAATGTTCACATTCTGTCTGAAGTAGAAGATTTGTAGCTCAGGTGGATGATTTTGATGTAACGTTTTGGTTGTTAAAGGAGTTGTATACGAACACTATTCAAGAAGGCCAGGACCGATTGCAGCATTTCTTCCTACCTTAAGGAAAATTGAAGAAAGATGTCTCATGGACGTCTTCCAAAAGAACGTATATCCACGAAACTTTGTCAAAATACATCTATCTTCAAGCCAACCTGCCAAATCAGAGCTCCCCATCCAAGGAAAACACAAAGGAAATCACCTTACTATGTATAAAGGACATCTCGAAAATCACTACAAGACTCTTCAAACCTTTAGGAATTGATGGCTCACATAAAGCAACGAAATCATCTCACTTAGCTCTGTGTCAACCAAGTGGTCTAGTGGATAACACTTTGGCGTTTGAAACTAAGGGCACTGGGTTCGAGTCTCGGTGGGAACATCATCACTCACTAGGAAATGCAGGTACATCCAGATGACGAGTCCCAAATATGGCGAAATGCGCATCTTGGATTCCACTGCTAGTTACCATCCACAAATTAATCGTTAATTATCTTTCTTATTTACATTCCTGTCCATGTTTGTATTTTAGCCTCAATAAAAACTGATTGTATGTGTTTGTAGTTTATCCGGTATTTTTTTATCTTGTTGAGTTCTGATTCATGTGTTGTTATCGTTAGTTTTGAACTTTAATCCCTGATGCAGTCAGTTCAATTTCTATGTTATTTTAAATCATTTTGTTTGAATAACTTGAACCTGTTCACTTGTTATTTCTTCTGATGTATAAAGTTAAGTGAAACGCTAATTCAAGTTTGATCACGGATCAATATGAGCTAGAGAAACACTGAAAACCATCAGGGAGTATTGAACAGCTGTTTCATACTAGTTTCGCACTTATCAGAAGTATGCACCCGCCGGGGTTTGAACCGATGAGCTTCTAGTTACAAGGCTAGATTGTAGACCATTCATTCACTAGGACCCAACTTAATATTCAGCCCATGAATTCTAACTCCTACCAATTCGTGATTTTAGTGCTATCATTAGCCACTGTTATCGCTGGAGAGTGTCTATCCCCATTCCCAACCTGTTGGTGGACCTCACTGGTCATGACTTCTCACTAGAACTCCAGGCAACCTAGTCCTGTAGCCAGTCACCAGCGAGCACTAGATTAAGTTTTACTGACTTGTCTTGTAACCGGAAGGTCTTAGGTTCGAACACATGTTGTGGGTGGGTACTGCAGATGAGTCTCAAACTATGATGAAACATCTAGCTGTCCAGTACTCCAATGCTGATTTTTCAATGGTTCTCTAACTGATATCAGTCTATGGTCAAACTTGAAACAGATCAAATCCCTAGAAACAAACTCTTGAAAAACACCAGTGACTAATATATGTGCATGACTTGCATGCTGTGGCAGCATGTAACTCTATATTAATTCGTCTACTGAATATATACGAGAGAGTAAAATAGCATTATTTACTGGATGACGTTTCAAAACTGGTTTTGAATAGCTCACGTTCTTGATCTGCATTTTCGTAAAGATGAGTAGAATTTTCCAGAGGTCCAGGACATATGTTGAACCATCCAACTCTAAAACTTAAATAATACAGCAGATGTTCCAAACATATGTAAAATTCAGCTACCTTCAAGACAAATGAAACGGAAGAATGAGACATATAAAAACCAAGTTTCGCCAGGCATCTCATTGACACGAGTCATGTGATGGACGTCGCAACATCGTTCAAAATTATCAGTAGGCAAAAGAATTCATTTCTCCCTAAGTTTGTTGAAGCAACGTCCATCAAGAGTCTGAAACCCGATTTATAGGTGTGTTCAAAAAGAAGAAGCAGTTATCAGTCTTTCCTTGCCTATCCTGACGACTGGATGTATTCATTCTCTCCTTCATCTGATTACGTGATGCCGAAAGTTTCAGTTATGTGTGATTTTTATTTCATTGGTTGTAGGGTTCCATCATGAGAACCATTGGAAAACTTGGCCAATGTTTTGGGCTCTTCAGCAGTCCGCAAATACTGCCACGGTTCGGACTCGGGACCTCTTAGTTACAAGGCTAGAGAGCTCATAGACCATTAAACCACTGGGACACGATCCAAAGGCCCATGAATTCTAACTTCCGCCAATTCTTGATACGGTGCTACCACTTCACAGTGTCTTCTTAAACGATTTACTGTCCTCACCTGCTGCACTTTACTGGTCTCGGCTTCCCAATAGAAACCCAGGTAACTGCCTGAATAGGGCCAGTCGCTAGCGAGGATCAGATCAATTTTCAAGTATTGATTTTGTAGGGATATTGTTGATTGGTTGGATGATTGAGAAGTGGTCAGGCTATGTTGTGAATTGGCAGAACTTAGAACTCATGGGTTGAGCACTGAGTCGAGTCTCAGTTGCTCAATCATCAGCTCGCTAGCCTTGTAACCAGGACGTCCAGCGTCCGAACACTGGCAGTGGGTGCGTACCACTGAAGATTTCCAAATCGTGCTAACGAAGCAGCTGTCCAGTACTCCCTGGTGGTTTTCCAATGGTTCTATAAGTGATGTCAGCTCATGATGAAATCCTCCAACCAATCAAATATGATTATTATTGTTTGGGATAAAGTGTTTATTATAATTAGCATTGTATGCATATACTGATTGACTGATGTTTTGTTTAGAAATGAACTCTTTGAATGTATGTTAAAGTTGTTTCTGTATATATACTTAATAATGTCTTTGGACTGTAAGCAGCTGATGAGAAGCCAACGAAATAAACAATCTTGGTACCATTTTATTCTACAGAAACCGACGTTTTTGTTGCTTTATTCAAATTCATTAAATGGAATAAATGAACGATGTGGTGTAGTTAGAAATGATGACATGATAATAAACGATAATAAATTGTGTCCGTAATGTCGTCATATATACTTTGGGTTATATTTTACAATTCATCAAGGATAGAAACATTCTTTCTCTTATCTAAAATCATTTCATGTTCCTTATTCTCTCTCTTTTGATTACAAATAAAAGACTTCTGTCACTCAGAAAGCAAGTAGAAGGCCATGCAGCAGCACATAGTGAACGTGTTCGTGAAGCGTTGAAATCATTTCGTCAAGAGTTAAATAATCAAGTGCAAACAGTGAATAATTCAAATTTAAAATTGATTGAATCTTTAAAGTAAGTTAAATTAAGAGTATTTTAAATAGTAGTTTTGATTGATTTACTTACGTATTATTGTCTCGAGTGCTACTGATAAGATTTATTAGTAGTATATAGAGAGACGTTAATCGGGCGGCATAAGAAACATCAAATAGTAGGAAGATAGAGTTGATTTCATAGAAGGCAAATGATACAGCGTTGCGGAGATACATGAGAGACGTGAAAGGAACACAAAGAAACACAACATGAAGTCTAGAAGTAGCACAACACGGAAGATGTGTGCAAATGGTGCTTAGAAGATAGATAAGGGGTATACATGATTTGGCTATATAGAGATATGAATCTCCAGATAAACATTCCTATACCAAGTTCTTCGTCTTCTACCGTTTCATTAGGACTGGAATTGCACTGTCTCTTTTCTAAAGGAATTCGATTAATCCTGATTACACGATAGATTTTGTCACGGTATACACTACTTGAAGTTCTAACTAGGGGATCCACTAAGTCAGATATCTAGACAGATAATGATTGCCTACACTGGAAACTAATGTTGCTACATTGCCAACCGAAGGAAATTAGAATTTTATGTGATATTTGATTCCAATCCAAAGGTGGAACGGTAGAGTGCTTAGTTCCTAACCTAAAGGTTTTAATCTTTATTCTTGGAGAAGTTATATATGCGAGCTGATGAGTAGTCTTAAAGTGGGACGAGAAAGTGGTTCCGTGCTCTCATATTTTGAGCCAGGATATTTTTGAGGAATAGGAGCTCCTATTCCAAGCAATGGCTCAAAATGGTTACCCGGCACGTTTTGTCAAAAATAACATTAAACCTAAACCAAAATGAGAAGAATGCGATTCAGCGCCGAAGGAAACTCTGTATATGAATCTGAATTTCAGGAGAGACTTGGCAGCTGATATCCTAAAAAGGAGAATGTCCAGCTCTTCAAAGAAGACCTTCCATACAGCAACACTAAGAGTGACATTTTCTGGCCGTCCAATACTTTGAAACAACGCTAAGGACAAACTCTCTCATATGACCAATTCAGTGTGCATATACCAGTTCACCTGCTCGTGCAGAGCTAGGTACATAGGTCGTTGTATGAGCGTCCTTTCAAAACGTGTTAGAGAAAATTATCCAGCATGGCTGCAAAGAGGAGGCACCGGTTCGATCAGAAGTGCCACTGCTGAACATCTGATCAACACCTCCCACAACATCTCAACTGATTCGTTCAAAGTAATTTACGAAGTCAACAGAAACTTTGAAATTAATCCAGGATATTCACTTTACGAAGTTTGAAATCTAATGAAAACATTTCTGAGCTCTTTCAGCGAACGTTGAAATATACTGAGTATACAATTATGTTTCTGATTTCACAGTTTTATATGGTTTGATTTCATCTGTATTCCATCCTATACGTTACTTAGACCAAAATTTTGTTGAGTGACACTCAGGCAGCGTGATAATTGTGTCATCCGATTTCATCATGAACTGACATCGGTTAGAGGACCATTGGAAACCAGCCTAGAGCACTGGACAGCTGTTCCGAACTAGTTTGGGACTCATCATTAGTACGTACTCACTGGGGTCCAAACTCAGGACCTTCCGGTTACAAGGCGAGCTCGTAGACCATTCAACCACTGATGGTTGCACTAAAATTATCATTTGGTATAAGCTGCATAATTAATGAAGCCTAAACCACTAAAACCACCCATTCCTTTTGCTCCTAAAAGACTTCTGTACTTGAATCTTGCCAAAAGAGTAGGAATCGAATTTCTTCAAACATCTGAAGCGATGGCATTTCACAGGATAAATCTAGAACCCTCTATTCAGAAGAAGTTTTTCAGTCACATCTTTGATAATATTCCTTTTGTTGTCAAGAGAATTTACTTTATACATATATGGATGCAACTGTGTACCTTGAGAATGGTGTAACAACAGAAGACAAGGGCCAGGCAACAGAACTTTTTTTACGGAAAATCAACACATATTTATAGATTTTGATGTACATTATTGTAGGTTAATGTTAGTAGAAAAAAAAGTCTGTTGATTGGTTGTTTCTCACAGAAAGTTAACCTTGCATCTCTTGTGGCTGTGTCAGTTTATCTATATGTTAACTGTATCCGCCTGTCCATCTTGACCTTGTTTTCACATGACTAACACTGACCTCAATTACTGTCAACCAATTTGGCTAGCAACCATCTCGCACCACAATGGTATCTCTGAAGAGAGTAACTCTTCGCCGAACATCTTTTCTTTTATATGAACAATAAATTAATTATCTTTTACAACCTTATTCTAGACATTCTAAGAAGGTTTAGAAAAGATCTTTCTTGTTAATTTTCCGTTTTACACAACTCGACTTATTCAGTACTTTGATTGGACACTAGTAACTAGTGCGATGTGTCTAGTCCTTTCTTTGGTGCAGACTGAATTCCATCTGCCGCACTAGTTACTAGTGTCCAATCAAAGTATCCACTACAGTCCTACAGAAGGTCAATCGCGAGCCCCAATAGCTGGCTCAGTGGTAACGTCTCTGACTGCATGCAGCACTGGGTGACGCGAGTTCGAATCTCAGAAGGGACATGAGTCTCTTCAAGGTTTCAGATACGCTTTGCTGACTGACTGGTGAGTGCCAACTAGCACGAAACCTAGGTCAGGCGAGGCTTCTTGAGGCCGATTGCCTCCAACCATCTAATATCATCGACTTATTCAACATTGAACATTAATCGATTCTATCAATCATCATCAACCCTTCTTTTTGTCATTTTGTTTATTTCAATAGATTATTTACAGATGGCGGGAATTTTGCTACAGTTGAAGCTAAAAAATATTCATTCAGTTTAAATGAATTAAGTAAGAGTGTTAAACAATTTGAAGAGGAAATCCTTGGCAATATTGAATCGATTGAAAAAGAAAGACAATTAACAACTGAGAATAGACTGAAACAATTTGGATCCGTATTGAAACCACATATGGCTGATGTTATCTATCTGGAAAATATGATACGTTGTGTGACGAATGCAGAAGTAAGTTTTAATGGTTTTTATTTCACGGCATGTTCGAACAATCAATACACAGTTGAACCCAATACAGTCAATCAGTTTAATGATAATGTATTATTATTATTATATTATTGTTCCCTTGGGTTCCTAGTGGAACATAGGGCTTCAACTGCACGCCTCCACTTCCTTCTGTCTTCTACTGTACTTTTCACTTGCATCCATGTTAGTCCATACTGTTTCAGTTCCTCTTCACACGATCTCCTCTATGTCACCCTGGGACATCCCACTCGCCGCTTCCCATTCGGGTTCCACTCGAGCACTGGCCTGACGCGCGATGTCACCTAACGGCCTTCTCAGCGAGTGTCCAATCCACCTCCACTTTCTCCTGCATATTTGTTGAGCGACTGCTTCTTGTTTTGTTTGTTCCCATAGTTTCTTGTTGGTAATTCTTTCCGGCGGCCATCTGATCTTCAGTATAGAACGAAGACAGCTGTTGATAAAGGTCTGCAACAGGCTGTTGAAAATATTCTTTGTGACCCGCCAAGTTTCTGATCCGTAAAGCAAAACTGATTTGACGTTTGTATTGAAAATCCGTATTTTGTTGTTAATGCAGGCTGAGTGACGAAGATTTCCAGATTGGTTTCAGGTTGATGAATGTGTTTCTCGCCTTCCCGATTCTCGATTTGACATCCTCGTCCGTTCCGTGTGCCTGTAGTTGAGACAATGCTCCCTAGATAAGTGAATGAAGTAACCTCTCTCAAATCCCTCCCGTTGATGGTGATTGGCGCTGGATGTTGCTGCTGTTGTTGTTGTTGGTTGGTTATTTTCATAACCTCCATCTTATCTATGTTCACCTGGAGTCCTGTCTTTGCTGCTTCGCCAATCAGTTTTTCGGTTTTCGCTTGTAAGTCTTCGGTTTTGTGTGACATCAAACATAAATCAATCATCCGCGAAATCCAGGTCTTCTAGGTTCTTCACGTCAGTCCAGGATATCCCTGTCTTCTCGTTTCCCACTGTTTGACGCATAATCCAGTCCACCACAATTAGGAATATCATTGGTGATAATAAGCACCCTTGTCTGACTCCTGTGTTTACTCCAAACACCTCGCTGAGTTTTCCGTTGTGAATCACTTGACATGTGCCGTTGTCGTACAGCTGTTGAATAAGGTTGATGAATATTTGGGGTACGCCGTAGTACTCGAGTAGTTCCCAAATTACTTCGCGGTCAACGCTGTCGAAGGCCTTCTCAAAGTCTATAAAATTGAGGTAGAGGTTTGATTGCCATTCCATGCTTTGTTCTGCGATGATGATGCGTAGAGTTGCAATTTGGTCAGAACATGATTCGCCTTTCCTGAATCCAGCTTGTTCTGGTCGGAGTTCTATATCCAGTGTGTCTTTTATTCTCTCCAGGATGATACGACTCAGGATTTTACTTGGCGTCGACAGGAGCATGATTCCCCGCCATTCTCGCAGAGTCCTAAGTCGTAAGTAAGTAATAATATATTTACAAGGAAGAAATTGAGTTAGAATTTACACCATAGATTTAGACAACCTACAATCCTACCGAAGAATAACTTCCTAGAAATAGTCACTATTAAATATTCTGATTAGACATTCAGATTTCATTGTTGTACAATCATACTGAAACACAATGACTGGATAGAGTTAATATCATCTCCACAGTCAATAAGATACTTCGTGATTTAACTGTTTGGTACACTGACTACAGCATTTTTCAACCATCATGTGAGTAGACAATCGCCTGTCTGTACGATCTTTATATATTTGCTTCCATAAATACAGTCAAATTGATATACCTAGTTTGAAGTTTCGAGGACTAGCGACTGATCATTCCCAGATTGTTGAAGCACCCGCTTGGTGATGTTAAGGAAGACAAGATTTGTAGCATGAAAAGCTATTTATCCAGTCCTTATTTGACTATTTTTTGTGCGGCACTTCCTTTAAAAGTCAGACGGATATAATGTATATATATATATATATATATAATGTATATATATATATATGTATATATATATATGTATATATATATATAATGTATATATATATATATAATGTATATAATGTATATATATATATATATAATGTATATATACAGCTTTCTTCGAACACAATATTCAGCAAAGAAACTCTCTTCAACAACGAATTTATTATCAAGCTGTACAATCGTATATATATGGTTTTTATAAAAATTATATCCGGTGAGGGAATTAGGTCAAAGGTGTGAATACATGAAATAATAATAGTATGAAGTGCAATTAAAATATTTGTGATTATAATCATAGTTTAATGTCAAGTGGAAAAATAATTAATGTCATATATAGAATAATACATAAGGTGTATAGATTTTGGAAAGGGGTACATAATTATAAGATTAGTAGACGAATATAAAATGTTACATAACATGGCGTGTAATTTGATAAGATAGAATTCAATATTGTAAAAATAAAAACATAAAAATTAATAATTTTGGGTTTAGAATGACAATTGGATCAAGTGGAAAAGATTCAGAGTGAGAATAGCAATAATAATGATAATAATAATAAGGGGAAAGTACATAGAATAACTAAATAAACAAAATAAAATAAATGAATGTCTATCCCTCTACGGCCAAGGCAGAAGTAGGGATTGTACATATTTCTTTTGTACACAAAGGTCTGGCTTAAAGTCATGAATTGCCAAGGCCTCAGCTGTCTTTAGAAGTCTGTAACGAAGAAAACGCGGGAAGTTAGCATGGATTCTATAAATTGCGGCTGGTGAACGTCATATGAAATTTTGCTGCAAAGAACGTCTTATTGACTGATTTAGGGAGACGATTTTTGAGCATATCCGAAGCTTGATCGCCTTTGAATTCCAAGTTCATGAATAAGGTTTTCTTTGAAGCTGAGTCGGTGACCATTTTAGACATTGGATAGTTTTACCGGAGCTTATTTCTTTAGAGTATTTATTGACAAATCCCTGGTGATGTCCATTCTTAGGTAAAGTATCCCTCAGGGTCTTGATTTCATATTCAGTTGTACTGACTAATTATTATTAGTTATACTGCTACTATTTTACATGGTGTCGACTTATGACTTTTTAAGTGATCACTGGTGAAGGCGAAGGATAAAATAGAAGAAGATAACTAACAAAATTGTGTGTATCAGGCAAACTTTGAGGATTTTGAGGCTGCATAATGTAGGAAAAACTTCCAGACAGTTAAATGTAGGAATAAAATTGCACAAATACTGACTAAAGGTAGTTAAAAAAAGTCACTAGATTGGCTTTGACAGGATCAATTTCCTACAAAAAGGTTTTTCTTCATACAGAAAAAGCCGACTGCAGAGGTCCTATATACATGGATGAATCACAGAAGTTTGAACAGGCATCACGATGTGATGTTAGCTGATCCATGGCAAGTCCTGACTAATAAATAAATAAATAAATGGATACGTATCACTAGTTTTTCATGCTTAATCTATTATATCAAGTATTGGTTTGCAGAGATCTGATTGGTTACATGCCTGGTCGCGAGTTGACATAAGTTAGACAAGCATTTCAAAACTTGAGGGTACTGGAGAGCTCTTCCGTCCTCGTTTGAGTCTCTTTGGCAGTACGGACCCACCACACGGGTTCGACTCAAGACCTACCGGTTACAAGGTGAGCTTGTAAACCATTCAGCCGCTGGGACTAAATCCACTGGTCCATCAATTCTAACTTCTATCCCTTCGCGATATATATATATATATGTATATATATATATATATATGTATAACGAAACCACCAGTCAGTGTCATAAACTAGTAACTGTTTTCTTACTTGACTTGGTGGACCCACTGGTTACGATTGTATATTTCTTCTTATGCAAAGGTTAACAAATGATGCACAATTGTTCACTCATATACACACACATCAGAAGAGGCAGGATAAACAGTGACTCACTACGGACATTTGGAGACTGATAGAAGAGAGAGGGATGGTGAAACAAAAGATTATCCAGTGCACCGACGAGCAACACAAACAGGATTTGAATGCAAACTACAAGACACTGAACAAAAGAGTAAAGAAGAGTGCCAGAGAAAACAAAAGAAGGTATTATGAAACCATGGCAAGTGAAGCAGAATAAGCTGCACTGCAGGCAAAGGAGACCTTGCAACACTCTACCAAACTACTAGGTACCTATCGGGCAAACGTTTGACACAAATTAAGCCGGTGAAGGATGCCAATGGAAAGTCACTCACTAAAGAAGTGGAGCAAAGGAAACACTGGGCTGAACACTTCAAAAGACTTCTAAATCGACCACCACCTACAACGCGCCCAACATTACCAACAACGGAGACGGAGCTACCAGTGAACACCAATCCCCAGACGAAATCAGAAGTCCTGATGGCAATCAAGATGCTAAAAGCTGGAAAAGCAGCAGGACCAGATGAAATCTCAGCAGAAGCGTTGAAAATGGACCCAGACACAACAGAGGACTTGATGACGCCACTACTGGAGAAGGTGTGGAAAGAAGGCAAAGTACCCGTGGATTGGAAGAAAAGCTACTTATTCAAACTACCAAATAAAGGAGACTTAAGTCAGTGCAAGAACTGGAGTGGAATTATGCTTCTGTCCATCCCAAGCAAGATATCAAGCCGCATCATCCTGGAGAGAATGAAACAAGCCACCCTGGATGAAAATCTTCGACCGGAACAGGATGGATTCAGGAGGAACAAGTCATGCATCGACTGAATCGCCACATTACGGATCATCATTGAACAGAGTTTGGAATGGCAGTCACCTCTCTATCTCAACTTCATCGACTTTGAAAAGGCATTCGACAGCGTCGATCGAGAAGTGCTTTGGCAACAAAATCGCTACTACGGGGTGCCGCCAACAATTATACATCTCATCCAACAGCTGTACGACAATGCTGCATACCAAGTAATCCACAACGGGAAACCTACGGAATCCTCCGAATTGAAGACAGGATTAAGACAAGCTGGCTGCCTACTATCTCCAATGATTTTCCTGATTGCAGTGGATTGGATAATGCAACAGACGGCGGGCAATGAGGAAACAGGCATAAAATGGACTCACACAAAGAACTTGGAGGATCTGGACTTCGCCGATGATATATGTCTGATTTCCCACAAACTGGAAGATATGCAAGCGAAAAGCAACAAGTTGGCAGAGGAAGCATCCAGAGGAGATAGGACTTCAGGTGAACATCGAGAAAACAGAGGTAATGAAGATTCCTGGACAAGAACAACATCAACAGACAACGATCAGCATAAATGCGAGGAAGCTGAAAGAAACAACCTCTTTCCTACCTCGGAAGCATCGTTTCAACTACAGGCCGGCGGAACTGACGAGGATATCAAAGCAAGAATCGGGAAAGCAAGACAAGCTTTCACAACTCTCAAGTCTGTGTGGAGGTCAACAGCACTACTCAGTATCAAAAATAAGATCCGGATTTTCAACTCCAATGTGAAGTCAGTCAGTGCTACTATTCGGATCAGAGACTTGGCCAGTACGTCATAAAGAGCATCTCAAACAAACTACAGACCTTCATTGATAGTTGTCTTCGCTCAATACTCAGGATCAGATGGTCAGAAAAGATTAGCAACAGAGATCTCTGGTAATGAGCGAAGCAACACAGCAGGAACCGATTGTGAAACAAATAGGCAGGAAGAAATGGAGATGGATTGGCCATACTCTGAGGAAACCATCAAGTGACATCACTAGATAAGCCATTGCTGGGGTGGAACCCGAAAGGGAAGCGGCGAGTTGGTCGTCAGTGCAAGGGTGACTTGGAGGAGGTGATGTGAAGAGGAGATGAAAGCATATGGGCAGACTTGTAGTCAGGTGAAAACTCTAGCAGAGAACCGAACGCAATGGAGACGCACGGCTGAAGCCCTTTGTTCCTCTGGGAATTAAAGGAAACAATAATAATAATACACACACATCATTGTATATTTCATACATATAATTTTTTCATGCTCAGTTTTCTACGACCATGAACCTTTGTCGAATACACTGCTAACAGTAGTGTTCAATAAAAGTAGACTAATAACTGTAAGTCTCTGGACAAAAATTCGATCACGTATCATGCAATTAAGCCTATTTTGTTTTGATGTTTATTCATGACTCACATATGAATGAACAAGGACTTTAAGGAGAGGTTATGACCAGGGTAGAGGTAGAGCAGATGGAGTGTGTGAACAAATACTCGCCAGCGATGATATTGGCTGATGCCAGTAGTGCTATATCGTACGTCAATTGGCAGAAGTTGGAATTCATCGGTTGGTCATTGGATCGGGTCCAGGTGGTTTAATGATCTACCAACTCGCTAGCCTTGTAACCGTAAGGTTTTGCGTCCGAACCCAGGTGAGTGCGTAATGCCAAAGATTCCCAAACCAAGGGAAAACATCTGTTCAGTACTCCCTACTAGTTTTCCAATGGTTCTCTGAATGATGTCATTCCGTGTTCCAACCTGAAAAAAACAGGATCCCTGCAAACTAATTCTTGAAAATTGATCTGATGCTCACTAGTGATTTGCTACAGGACGGAGTTTCCTTGAGTTCTATTGAGACGCCGTGACTAGTGAGGTCCATCAAGTCAGGAGTGGGAATGGAGTTCCCGTCGATGACATTGGTTGGTAGTTGCGCTAAACTCACGAACTGGTAGGAGTTAGAATTCATAACCTGTTGAATCAAATCGCAGTGCCTTGATAGTCTACGAGTTTTCCTAGTAACTGGAAGGTCCTGGCTTCGAACCCTGTTGGTGGACGCGTACTATCGGAAAGTCCCAACCAGGACGAAACAGCTATCCAATTCTCCGAGGTGTCCCAGCGTTTGTCCGACCGATTTCAGCTGATCATATAATCCTCTAAACAATGATGTGTCTTTCTATATGAATATATACCTCTGTTATTTTAATTTTGAATAATTCCCCTGAAGAAGTATGTATCAGTTAGGCGAACAAAACCTTACAATGATTTATTTCAATTTTTCTAAGATTTTATAACTATAAATTTCAAGTATGTCTATCATATCTGTATCATAATTTCTAAGGCCCAGATTAAAAGTCAAATAGAAGACAGTTCAAGTCAGATGAAAGTGTTATCCAGTCAAATAGAAGATTTTGCCAATCTCTTGAAATCCATTACGGAAACAAATCATATCCTGTCGAAAACATTGCGTAACAATACATCATTACTTGAAGGAGGCAATTTTAAACAACAATTAAATGCTAATGAAAAGATTATGCTAAAAGAAATGATCAATAAAGCTGTTGGATTGCTTACAGTTATCTGTGTCAATGCCGCTGATCGATGTATTTTCTTGAATTGTCTACGTAGTCAAATGACAAAAAGTGACGGAGAAGGCGAAAAACGACAGATGTCACCTTCGAAAGGCAAGGAAGCCAGCAATGTAAGCGTAAGTGTATTTTTTGTTTTGGTTTCCGTTGCGTTCCTAGTGGAACACAGGGCTTCAAATTTTGAAGGTAGAGTAGTGATGATGTTTCTGGCTTCATATCCAATCTTTCCTATTTTCTGGGCTTACTATAAGTTGGGCGAGATTTAGGAGTGTGTTGGCTGGGAATTGAACTTGAGTCACGTGAATTGTTGGCGACAACTACACTGAACCACCCTCTTATACAAAGTGCTTATAGACTGGGATTGCAACCCAGACATCCTGGATGAAAGCCAGGAATGCGAACCGCTAGAATAACTGGAATTTTCAAGATATAAATTGTGCCACTGCGTTATTAGTCGATTTTCTTTGTGTGAGTTTCTTCGTGAATGACTGACCCGAATTGTAGATAAACGTTTATGGAAGCCGTTTAAATTGATCCGATAGACAATGCCTAAGTAACACCTTCTAAAGGTTGTTTAATATTGTCCTGTTCTCAAATGACAAATGTATCAGTCTAGACGTCGTCACCAACCGAGGTCAATTAGAGATCTATTAAAATCCAGTCAGAACTAGACAAATCCTGAATTGTTACTCTTCATCAGTGGTTCCGAACAAGCCAAAATTGTAGACAGCAATTTACTTCTATGTTAAGTCCTGAATCAGGGTCATGAGAGAAACAGTAACAAAACTTAACCTTGAGGAACTCAACAACCAATCACAGAAGACTTAACGTGTGCAAATACGATTGGCAAATATATGGCTTAGCTTTCTGAGAAACCATCACAAGCAGTACATAATAACTTTCAGCAGGAAACAACCAATCAAAAGACGTTGCTTCTCCGCTTACAATAACGTTAATAATAATGTACATAAAAATCTAAAAATATCTCTTGATTTTCTAAATAAACGATCTGTTGACTGGCCCTTGTCTTCTGTTGTTACACTCCTACCACAGGAATGGATTCACAGTATCAAAATTTAGTATCAAAGTACACTAGTTCAAATTGACACACCGAAAAAAAAACACATAAGCAGAGGAAAGAAATTGGTGAGACTAAAACCACCGAAAATCCAAGGGAGAAAGAATAACTACCTAAAAAATAATGAGGCTTTAATAAATTTGGAAGATCAGACAGAGTGAATACATATCGACTGCATTGTGAACGATTTTGGGTGATTTCACTAATCGTGTCTTAGCATCTTAATATCTTGGAGACCCCAGTCATATAGTTTGCACCTTCTTACAGGACGCACACCAACATTTAATGAATTCAGTACACTCATCTTCAGATCAGTAGTCTCACATCTGGACTGCATCCAAAATAACGTAAGTTGGTGACTACCACACGTGCCTTCCGTATCCTTACTAAAATTTTGTGAGCAATCACTTCAATTAATCGTGATGCATTTTTCCACACAAATGAAGTGTTCAACACATCCAATCATTTCATTCCCTTGAGTGAACACCAGATTGGCAGCATTATCTCACTTTTGACAGTGGTGAATCCGATGCCAAATATATCAGGACTCTGAATAAAGAAAGAACGAAATATATTTGCAGAATAATATGAGCTCGTTTCATTTCGTGGATTCTCTCTCTTCAACTGCGTTGTACATCCTGAATAAATCAATTGTATGTTACAAAATGGTGTCTGAACACATTTTTTTCCACAATGACTTCAAGTTATAGATAGAAGGTATAAGCAACATAATTTTAAAGATGATGTAAGTAGACAATTATTTAGTGTGTTAAAAGAGTAACTATTTATATAGTAATTGGACAATGGAGTGGAATTCAAATTTCTCTTGTAATCAAGGATGGACTAGAGACGAAATACAAGATAGAAGAACAACAGAGTGAATTTCTACATATGATGCTGGAGAGCTTAGGAGGTCTCCGTTTGGAAGGAAGCCAGAGGTTCTCAAGCGCAATTGCCAGAAGCCTGATTGACAGAGGACATACAACGGAGATTAATCAGGCTTTCATAATAACCAATGCACAAAGAAAACCATGGTTACTTCGGTTAGCGGAAGCCATTACCATCAAAAGACTTTGACCTAGCCTATGCATACAGAAAGAGAGTGTGACTAATCTTTCACTATCCTGACAACCATAGTTGTTTTTTTCATGTGCTTTTGTGTTTTTTTTCTCTTGCCTACATAACATTCCACTCAATTTTGATTTTGATTTTCACTTAGTAACTGAGTTGAACTCACTACTGGGGTTCCAAATCTACTAAATTAAATTATTTTAGCTATTTTATAATTTTACTTCACTAATCACCCTCACCCTCCTGAACTCTCCAGCATCATATGTAGAAATTTACTCTGTTGTTCTATCTTGTTCCTTTGTCTCTAGTCCATCCTTGATTACAAGAGAAATCTGAACTCCATGCCCTTGTCTAATTAATATATAAATATTCAAGTGTTGGTTTGTAGGGATTTGATTGGTTACAGGATTTTCATCATGAGCTGACATTAGTTAGAGAACCATTGGAAAACCACCAGGGAGTACTGGACGGCTGCTTCGTCCTAGCGTGGGACACTTCAGCAGTACGCATCCACCGGGGTTCGAACCCAGGACCTTCTGGTTTACAAGGCGAGCTCGCATACCATTAAGCCGCATTCAGGTAGGTAGATACCTGCGGTTCTAGTGAGAAGTCGTGACCAGTAGGATGCAGCAGGTTGGGTGTGAGGACAAATACTCGCCGAAGACATCGGCTAGGGGTCGCGCTATGTCGTGAATTGGCAGAAGTTAGAATTCATGGGCTGGCCATTGGATCGGGTCCCAGTGGCTTAATGATCTACGAGCTCGCTAACCTTGTAACCAAAATGTCCTGGATTCGAATCCCTGTGGGTGCGTACTGCTGAAGAGTCCCACACTAGGACGAAGCAGCCGTCCAGTACTCCCTGGTGGTTTTCCAATGGTTCTCTAACTAATGTCAGCTCATGATGAAAATCCTGTAGCCGCGAAACTGTTAGTGAACACAAATCTTTCGACAAAAGCTGAAGTCTTGAAGGCCATAAAGTTGCTGGAATCCAAGAAAGCAGAATGGCTAGACAGACAGTCCCTACAATTGCTCTAGAAATAGACCCATAAACCACAACAGATATCCTTAGGAAGTTTGGAAAGAAGGAAAGGTAACTACGGATTGGATGAAGGGCTACTTAAGCCTGTGCAAGAACTGGCGCAGGAGAAAACTCCCATCTGCTTGAAAAAAAAATATGAAACCGCGTCATCCTAGAGGGCCCAGAAGATACTTTGATTGCAGAATTCCGACGGGAAAAAGCTGGAATAAAGAAAAGCAAATCATGGTGTTAGTCGAACTGCAGCACAACGCACCAACATTCTCAAATAGAGCATAGAATAACAGTCAAAGCAGCTTCATCGACTTGGAAAATGTCTTAAATAGACTCGACTGAGAAGTCATTTGGAATCTAATTCAAGTTGGCGAGTGATACAACACTTCATCAATCTCATTCATTATCAGTACGACGATACCACTACTACCTAGATTGAAAATCCTGTTTTTACATGTGTTAACGTGTTAGTAAATTTACTTGCAAACTGATTCAATCAAACACAACGTACACTTTGATTGGACACTAGCTAGTCACTAGCGCTATGTGTCTAGTTCGTTGTTTTCGTGTAGACTGAATTCTGTCAGTCAAGTCTGCCATGTGGCCACCACTCTAGGTAGCTCATAATGACGGCGCACATTAAACTGTTTATATTAGATAGTATCCAATACAATCCTACAGAAGATCAATCGTGAGGCTGAATAGCTCAGTGGTAACATCTCTGGCTGCAGCAGTGAATGACGCGGGATTGATTCACAGAAGGGACATGAGTTCCCGCAAGGTTTCAGATACGCCTTGCTGACCAGTGAGTACCAACCAGTGTGAAACCTGACGATTGGTTCCAGCCATCTAAAAACAACCTGTATCGTTTCTTTAGAAAGAAAGTTGGACATCTTCTTATCTAACCGCGTTTTCCAGGAAAAACTGACATTTGAAGTCACGAAAATTTCAGTCACTGAAACAGGTTTCTCACTGTCCACTATAAAAACATCTTATTTCCAATCTTATTGTACTTTATTGATAACACTAATATTATTTCTGAATGTACTTTATCTTACATTGACTTGATTCAAACGTCTAATCATCAATTTTTACTCATGTATATAAATGAAGCTGGAAAGTTGTGTGAGTAATGCCTTGATATGATTATGAGGAGTAAAAAATTGTGCTCGAAGTGTGTGGTCATCGGTAAATATTACTGCATAACACTACTGTGTGTGATTTTATCAAAGTAGATTTTGTGCATAATGGAATGTTGAATATACATCGTCAGCCTATATCAGTCAACAGTAGAAACGAGATTACTAACAATTTTCAATATTTGGATTGGACACTAGTAACTAGTGTGGCGTATCAAATGCTTTCTTTGGTGCAGACTGAATTCTCTCAGTCAGGTTTTGCAATGTGGCCACCATTCTAGGTGGCTTGCCATCACGGTGTACATTGTTTGTGATGATATTAGATAGTTGGAGGCAATCGGTAGGAAGCCTTGGACCTAGGTTTCGTGCTAGTTGGCACTCATCAGCAAGGCGTATCTGCAACCTTGAATTTTCAATATTCCTTTTCTTTAACCCCCTCAGAGTGATACAGAAGTTAAAATAAAGATAAAAGTAGTATCAAACACTCAGAACACTATCAACTTATCCACAAGTGAACACACAAAAGGGACAGAAAATCAAACTGCTCTTACTGATGTTAATTACCTGAATGCAATGCAAACTAGTCGACCTGGCAGACCGCTCACAGAAGATCCATGCACGCAAGTTGTACAAAGTATTTTCAATGAACGTACTCCACCAGGTGATAAAGTGAAAAACTCAGAACAAAAGTTGTCAAACCAACCAACTGATCATACTTCAAAAGGAAATGAGAATAAATCACGTAAGTTATAACTTAGTTCTCTTTTCAGCTATATAAGATTGTAGACGGTTATTCTAGACTCATATTGTCGATGTGACCAGTCATTTATCGTCGTTGGTTCAAATGTGTATAGATGTATACTTGGTGCATCACTAGAAAAGCTTTTCGAACAGATAGCTTCAAACTTTCATTAACAGCTGCCTGCAACGGCTGAACAGTGAAGATCAGATCACTAGCCAGAAGGAAAAAGCAACGCGTAACTCTGGGGGGCAGTGGACCAACCAAGAACTTTTTAATCGACACATATGCAGAAAGAAATGGAGATGGATTGGAAACACTCTGAGGAAACCGCTCAATAACATCACTTGCCAAGCCAACTGGTGGATGGTGACTAGCAGTAGAATCCATCAGGACTCGTCATATAGATGTACCTGCACTCCTTAGTGAGTGATGGTGTTCCCACCGGGGCTCGAACCCAATACCCATAGTTTCAAATGCCAAAGCGCTATCCATTAGACCACTTGGGCCACGACAGTCACCTCTTGTGCAACAGGTTTTATTAATCATTTAATTCAATTTTAGATTTTCCCATCGGTTGATTGGACCGAAGTGCTCGGTCTCAGGTTGACATGTCGGACGAAATGCGTATCGTTATGGATCCCACTGGTAGTCACCATCAACCGATGGACTTCTAGTTACATGACTAGACATCATCGAAGCATCTGCACTTGAAACCCACATGCCAAGCCCTAGAATGGAAACCGAATGGGAAACAGCGAGTTGGGCGTGGCTGCAAGGGTGACATACAAGAGATCGTGAAAGAAGGAAATAGAAGCCTGTGGGCAAAGCTGTAGCTAACCAAAGTGGTCTGCAGAAATGTTCTGCTGAAGCCCAATGTTCCATACGAAATCCAAAGAAATATTTGTACTAAAAACTTGAGGGGTTTCCTAATTCAGTAACCCACAAGTTGGGATAAATCCAAACGTAAACATCATTGGGGCACTTCAGTAAGAATTCAGTTAACTAGAACAGATAAACAGACACACATTCCTTGTGTGAGGGATGATAATACTATCCACTTTCCCTAGCAGTGTGGAATCTGGCATTCTTTATTTGGAAGTCGGGTGTTTTTAAGCCGATGAGCCACATATCCACATCTCTGGTTCCAATTTCACAGCAACTCAGATTCCATATGTCTCCTGGTTTAGCTAACAGAGAGCTGACTTGACAATCCAGAGACTGTTGGTTCGAATCTGACCACCACTAAATAACTACCTCATTAAAATTAAACTGTTTGTTGTATAAGCAGTTTTGACTAATAACACAAGGAACATTTTGTTTTTGCTTTTTGCACAGGTCAAGAAGAAGTAGGCAGTCAGAATAAATTACCAGCCGAAGAAATGCAGAATCCGAATTCTCTGCGTATGAATACACCTACAAAAGGTCACCGCACCAGACGGGATAACAATAATAGTAATAATAATCCTTCAACTGCAACGGGAACTGCTCAGAAGACGAGTAGACGGAAGAAAAAGTAAGTTCTTATCGAGTATTGAGCGGCTATTTTACTCAACAGTAGAACGCTTTCATCAAAACAAAATTATCTACATTTGAAAAACAACACCGAACCAAATCTGCAAGTGGAGAATTTCAGGGGTCATACACCTGCTCCAACTAACTGGATGACTATGGTCCGTCTTGTCTATGGCCAACCGCTGTCCTATGCAACTTTGCCACTACCACCAAGGTCATAAACTGTGGATGACTCTCCTAGGCTTATGCCTTAGGCTTGCTGCCAACCAAATCAACCCTGACACTTCTTGACATTACTCTTGTGTTTGGACCAAACGAAACTTAGCAACATCTGGTTTAAACCCAGGTTTCAACAACTTTACGGTCTGAGTTCAACACTCGAGAACCATATATTTTCAGAGCTAATCAGTTCACTAACTAATCAGTTACTACATATTCCTCAGGGATTTTCAATTTGCATAGCCACTGACATGCTGTGTGAACCAACTACAACATCTTGTGGTATCTCATGAGCTTCACGTTAAGCATTTTGACTGAAAGTTTGATAACTTTAATTGCTTATTATATAATCAACCGGAACACTTGTTTGTTTCTAATTTACTCCCCCTCTTTCCAGAATTCTGTATTACGCAATCGAGTTGTTGTATTCATTTCTACTCTTTATTTTTTTGAGCTAATTCTCATGGTTAATTATCAACCCCCCTCGTGACATAATCATTTAGGTCAATAGTAACTACACGCAAATTATACAACGAGGTCACTGAAGACATTAAATTCACACGAGAAGGAGAATCAAACAACAAACTTTTCTCTCTCAGATATCTTAATCAAAAGAACAAGCACAGGAAATCTAAAGACATAAGTGTATCATTATTATTTGTTATTATTATTGTTCTCTTCACTCCCGAAGAGAACATAGGGCTTGAACAGTACGTATCTACTTTGCCATATTCTCCGTGGTCATGTATAGCTGGTCTCATGATTTCCTATAGACTCTGTTCTCCTCTTCCTCGCGTGATCTCCTCAGCGTCGCCCCCAGATCAACGCTCAATCTTTGTATCCCATTTAGTTTCCACTTGAAAGACGGCCTGCTGCATGATGTCATTCGATGTTCTCTTCAACGTGTACCCAATTCATCTCCATTTTCTTTGGGGTACTTCTCTGGCAGTAGAGTCTTGATTGATTCGTTCCTAAATATTTTAATTCTTTCTTACGGCCATTTGACCTTCAATATGGAGTCAGTGGAGGCAAATGGCACTCTGACCAAGATTCTGACCCATACAGAAGTACTACTTAATCCGAATCTTTTTCACTATTGAGAAGTGCATAAATGTACAGGGAGTCAATTCACACAGGCCAAGTACTCAACTAAAACAGCAGTAGTTTAACAGTACAGGAAAGAAACTGTGTACAGTCATTAGCCCGGAGACTTGAAATACTTCAGCACTCCAGTCCAGAGCAGAATAGAAGAAAAATATTTATTAGCTGTCTTCAAGAATAACGGATACGCTTACAATTTCATCAAGAAAGTCAAAAGTTGAAACAATCTACAAGAAAGAAACTATCTTCAGATAACAGGAGACAATTCATCCAACCATATATATATATACAAAGAATGTTTCAGAAATAGCACCTAGAATATTGAAAGTTATTATTATTGTCTCCTTTAGTTCCTAGAGTAACAAAGGGTTTCAGCCTCACGTCTCAACTGCATTCGGTTCTCCGCCAACCTTTTTACTTGTCTCCACGTTTGCCCACATACTTTCATATCCCCTTCGCATCACCTTCTCCATGTCACCATCGCACTAACGACCAAATATTTCGCAGCTTCCCATTCGGGTTCTACTTGAGCGATGGCCTGCAGTATGATGTCTTTTGATAATGGTTTGTTGCACAGTTGGTTCCTGCTGGGTTGGTTCGTTCACTAACAGAGACCTATCCCTGTTGCTGATCTTTTCTGGCTGGCCATCTGATCTTGAGTAGTATTGAGCGAAGACAGCTGTTGATGAAGGCTTGTAGTTTGTTCGAAGTGGCCTTCATGACCCGCCAAGTCTCTGGATCGTCACGAACTGATATAGCACACAAACCAGTACAATCATTTTATTCAATACTATTCTGACGAAAAGATCCAACAGCAAAAGGAAACAAGATCAACGGCAGTTACAGAATAAATTGCACCATATTAATCAAGGAGGGTGTCCTCTTCTGCATTAAATTCAAGAAAATAAATTAGCTGCTGCAGGAAAAGACACGTATTCTTTCAAATCGATGCATTCAAACAAATTATAGACACCAAATTCACTCGGAGATTGTAAAAATTTTAAACAATACAAACCCTGAAAATGCCGAAACATTCCTAGAAGTTTGGTACTCAAGCAAATCAGGTATCATCAGACACATTGTTATACATCATATTTATCAACTAATATAGAATAAGTCACATGAAAAGAAGCCAAATTCTGAGTCAGTAAAAGCGATCAATAATACTAAATAAAGCAAATTAACAAGCAGTTACAATGAAGCTTGTCTAGAAACAATATTATATCATGTGGTATCATCATACTGATAATGAATGAGATTGATGAAGTGTTGTATCACTCGACAGCTTTGAATTAGATTCTAAATGACTTCTCAGTCGAGTCTATTTAAGACCTTTTCAAAATCGATGAAGCTGAGTTGACTGTCAATCTATGCTCTATTTGAGAATGTTGGTGCGTTGTGCTGCAGTTCGACTAACACCATGATTTGCTTTTCTTTATTCCAGCTTTTTCCCGTCGAAATTCTGCAGTCAAAGTATCTTCTGGGCCCTCTAGGATGACGCGGTTTCATATTTTTCTTCAAGCAAATGGGAGTTTGCTCTTGCGCCAGCTCTTGCATAGGCTTAAGTAGCCCTTCATCCAATCAGTAGTTACCTTTCCTTCTTTCCAAACTTCCTGAGGATATCTGTTGTGGTTTGTGAGTCTATTTCCAGTGCTTTTGTAGGGACTCTGTCTGGTCCTTCTGCTTTCTTGGCCTTCAAGACTTCAGCTTCTGTCGAAGTATTGGTAGTCACTAGCAGTTTCGTGGCTATTTCTGGACTAGTTATAGGTATTAGTTGATTCAAGAATGCTTTTAAGTAATCAGCCCAGTGTTTCATTTGGTTCTACTTTTCTGTAATTAGGTTGCCTTCAATGTCTTCCATAGCTTCCATCCATGCTGATCTCGATATATGTAGTCAATGTCATCGGTGAGTAACTGTTCTTTCACCTGACTTGGTGGACTGTGCTGCTTAGAAATTCTCACTGGAATTCCGCCTAACTTCCTGTATAAAGGCAATCGCTGACAAGCATCAGATTAGCCATCGAGCCTTGGTTTTCAGGAACTTGGCTGGTTACTGGATTGACCACGAGCTAATATAAGTTAGAGAACCATTAGAAAACCAAGTCGGGCAAGAGCATAGTCACCTGTTTGTGACACTGGCTGGCGGTTGTGCTAAACACACAGTATGAATAGGCAGAAGTTGGAATACACAGACCATTGTGTCAGGAAGTTCCTGAGTTCGACCCCCTCTGGGTCGTTGCGTACTGATGAAACAGCTGTCTGGCAGATATTCCAGGTTTTTCAATGGTTCTCTATTGAAGTAAGCTCGTGATAGATCCTGTAACCAGTCAAATCCCCATGAACCAATACTTGATAATTCCAACTTTCAGTATAGTGAAAATATTCATTCAGATATCTAGAAAAAACAAGACAAATAGAGCAAAGAGTTTCCTTTCTGATAATTTCCTCTTCTGGCTTTACAATTATATACATATATTTATGTATAGAATATTCTAAAATAACCGTCACTAACAATATGGGCGTATTTTTAAGATACTATCGATTTGTTGGGTAGGACAGATGGAATTACCACAGCTCAAGAAAGATGCATAAATTGTATGGAGGATAAAAATGTAATATTAAATAGAATTTCAAATAGAATTAAGGAAATTTCTACAAGAAATTAAGGATCACTAAAACCTTGATGGCCAAGGTAAGTAACAAAAGTGTCTAAACCAACTTCTTCTTTTGGATAGATAAGTTAGACTTCTTAAAATATGGATCCCAACAGCCAGCCTAGGCAATATGTAGTAGACGAACTCATAAGGTGAATTTAAGATTATTTGGTGTGGGGTAGATAACTTTGAAAGTCACCTTGTTTACATCAGTTTTGTCTTCTGTATCCAGGAGATGAGATACAATGGAACTATGAATGAATTTTTTTGTCCTTTAATTACACACTTTGCAGGATGGTGTTCGGACATCCGACGATAAACATGTCTAACTGTATGGCCTATGTAACTGGCCATAACTTGATTAATTCAGAATATATATAGCTGCTTTCAGCCAACTACTTCACTTTGATATGGTGGACCCAACAGATTGGTTCATCATTTAGTCCACACTGAAATTAATTCAAACCCCTATTTTTTTTCCTTCACGTTCCCCAGTGGAACATAGGGCTTCAAGCTAGTGGCTTGAAGTTTCTGTAGCAGTATTTTATTTTTACAGGATGGGGTTGCTAGCCTCATGCCCAACCTTTCCTATTTACCAGCATTATTTCTGGCTCAGCGAGGTAAAGGAGTGCGTCGGCCGGGGATCGAACCCCGAACCATGTGCATGGTCGGCGAGCGTCCTAACCGCTATACCACCGACGCGGTGGTATAGAGTCCTTAAAAGTCCCTATAGAGTCCCTAAAAGTCCCTATAGAGTCCTTAAATCTGAATGCCGATATGTTACTTGTCCAATGGTATAAACCATTAGACATTTGAACAACAAAGTCATTTACATTCCGACTTTCTCATCATGTCCCTTTACGTGCATTTTATCAAGTACAACTGAGAGCTTTGTGTATTCAATTTTAAATATTAAGAAGTCAGTTTGTAACGACAGAAGACAATGGGCAGGCAACAGATCGTTTATTGAGAAAATCAACAGATATTGGCATATTTTTATGTACATTTTTATTCGTTATTGTTAGCAGAGAAACAGCATCTTCTGATTGGTTGTTTTCTCACTGAAAGTTCTTCTGTCATCTCTTTGTGGCCATTTCTTTGAACGTCAGACCATATACCTGCAAATCGTATCCGCCCACGTTAAGTCTGCTGTGATTGGTTGTTGAGTTAGTCTTTGTTCTTGTTTTTTTCTCATGACCACGATTTGGGACACGGAACATTGACGTAAATTGCTGTCTACCAATTTTGGTCAGCAGGCAGCTCTCACCACAAGTTTATTCCTCATATACTTGAGTAGTTCCCAGACAATTAATCATCCAAAACCGGTGTTTCTCTATTTCATCATTACAGCGCACTTCATCAAACCCCCAGTAAAACTAGTGTGAAGCATAATCGTCCACAATTGTATTATGAAGCTTTCGGTAAAGATCCTGTGTCCAGTAGTGATTCAGGTGAAATTGGTGATTCATATATGAAACAAGCAAATATTGAACAAGCTACATTTATTGGTCGTATACAAAGAATATGTCGTGAAAGCCTACATAATGCCTTACATTTGTCTGAGGTAATGTTTATTTCAAATAAATCACTATTTTTTTAAATTTTTTATTTTCATTACAGCTTGATGCTACACCGTATTTTCAGTACAAGTATGGAATTTTCAGCATGGATATTGGTAGCCCAAATTTACAGGCCGACCATAGATATCGGGTGTGCGTCGGCAGGGGATCGAACCCCGGACCATGTGCATGGTCGGCGAGAGTCCTAACCACTGTGCCACCGACGCACTATTGCTGTTATTATTTTTGTCACTGTTCGAAGTCGTCTCTACCTTTATGGATAAGATTCTATTTTGATAAATCACACAGTGTTACACAGTAATATTAACTGATGATGTTTCGAGCACAAATTATTGCTCATAATCATATCAAGTTACTCACACACAACAACTCACTCAGAGACAAGCTCTGTAGGCTAAAAGACCCGGTGGACTCAATTAAACAAAATAATATAATTTACAAAATACCTTGTAATGACTGTGAGGTCAACTATATAGGTCAAACTAGTAGATCGGGGGTAGTCAGATTGTCAGAACATAAGAATTTAGCCAAGATAAGAATGGTTGACCCCAAGAAGATAAGTAATTTCGAGAAAAAAGCTCAGCAATTGCACCACGTGCAATAACACAACCACACAATAGGGTGGGAGAGGGTTAAGACTCTAAGAAGTAATCTATGTAGGTGGAGGGAGAGATTGATTACTGAACCCTGGTTCATTGAATCTACACCCAACACATGCAACAGAAATGACTCAATGCAAATACCAGAAATATGGAAGATATTATTACCACCACTCAAATCAGAAGAGGATAATAAATAATCTCAAAATTCTGTTTCATTTAAGCACATCAAAACATCCTAACAAGTTACTTATTTTGACTATTGGAGCACTTGTCTTATTTCCCATCTGATTGTAATTGATCAGTAACACTCGTACTATTATTTCTGAATGTACACCATCTCATATTGATTTTTATTCAAATATCTAGTCAATTCCATACATGTTTATAAATGAAGGAAAAAGTTGTGTGAGTAACTTGATATGATTATGAGGAATAATTTGTGCTCGAAACGTCATCAGTTAATATTACTGTGCAACACCGTGTGATTTATCAAAATAAAATCGCATCCATAATGGAGTTACACTCTACCACAGTGCCCAAGTTTTATACTTAAATCGTGTCTGCCTTGATGTGGATTTTCTCCTGAGTTGATATCTCATTCGAAGAATCATGGAAAACCAGACAGTTCTAGACATCTGTTTAGTACTAGTTTAGAACTTTTGTAATGGCCCCATTGAGAACCGAATTCAGAACATTCAGGTTACGAGGCGTGTCAATAGATCATTCAACCAAAGGGTTGGATCCCGAAGTTGGATACGTCTACCTGATGTCACATACAGTGAGTGATATGGCAATATTAACTGGATAGCGTTCCGAGCACAATTCATTGCTCATGATAATATCTGTGTATTCACATAATTTCCTAACTTGCTGTATACAGTTTTTGTAATTCTTTTTGTTTTCTAATGGGATTTTCCTGACTTCCCTAAGTTCTTCTCTAGTGTAAACTCAGTAGTAAATGGAATTCAACTCTCTTTTGAGTTAGAAAATGCACCACATGGGTTGGCCATGCTAGACTGTAAAATCAAAGAAGAACAGGATTTTGTTTTAGACACTAGCAATTATAGAAAACCGAGACAGTAAACAAGTCGATTTTAGATCATACCATGCGTCGGTGGCACAGTGGTTAGGACTCTCGCCGACCATGCACATGGTCCGGGGTTCGATCCCATGCCGACGCACACCCGATATCTATGGTCGGCCTGAATTTGGGCTACCGATATCCATGCTGAAAATTCCATACTTGTACTGAAAATACGGTGTGGAATCAAGCTGTAAATCAAATCAAATCAAAATCAAATCACAATAGGTAAAGGTAAGTTCAAAGCAGCTCAGGTGGATGATATTGAATTAGTTGTGCTCTCTGAGCTGCTAGTTGATTTAACTGAGAAGCTTTCGTCGGCCCACTTCTAGACATCTTCAGTGTAGGTATCAGCATAAAATGAACTTATTTAAATTCTCCATGAATAATTACACAGTTGTATCTCCTGGCAACCACTGTCATGATTGGTTGTTAATTTACGTCTCCATTGATTATTTTTATTGACTGACTTGGAGCTTGACCTGTCTTGTCATGTGATGATTCACTTTCTATTAGCTGGTAAAGTTGGTGCATAATAATGTGTGTTTGTTAATCGCTGGCTGATTCACTTCAGTACCAGGCTTCTAGGAATTCCCTGGCGACAGATTCTACCAACCAGTGTTAAATATAAACCACCTATTAACTGTCCTCTGGGGGGTGGAAGTTAGCCGAACAACACGGAAAACAAACGGTGAAACTAACGATCGCTGATGCACATGTTCGGATTAGAAAAATACCAGCATATGTTTAAATTTCAAAAAGGAAAGATTGAACCGACACTCAACCCAGAAAATCTATCAGCATTGAACACATTGTCATTAAAACATTAAGTGAACGACACAAAGAACGAAGACGAGTTTTCATGAAAGGAAAATTAGTTAAGATATCTAAATAACCATCTGAAGAAACTCTAAATGTTTGTGATGCAACTGATCAGCAATAGATTTTTGTGCGTCCTTAGAATCATCACTCAAATCATCAAAATTAAATGAGGAAGTACAACAGGAGATACGTCAGTGTATCATTCCCATAACCAAGCAAAAAAACACAATACGCAACTTAATGCTCAAGAGCAAAATGCATTGAAGCAATTGAAAAATAGAAAAGATACTACTATAGCCAATGATTTTCCTGATTGCAGTAGACTGGATAATGCGACAAACAGCGGGCAATGAGGAAACAGGCATAAAATGGACTCACACAAAAAACTTGGAGGATCTGGACTTCGTCGATGACATATGTATGATTTCCTATAAACTGGGAGATATGCAAGCGAAAAGCAACAAGTTGACAGAAGAAGCATCCAGAGGAGATAGGACTTCAGGTGAACATCGAGAAAACAGAGGTAATGAAGATTCCTGGACCAGAACAACAACAACAGACAACGATCAGCATAAATGGGAGGGACCTGAAAGAAACAACTTCCTTTACCCACCTACCTGGGAAGCATCGTTTCAACTACAGGCCAGCGGAACTGACGAGAATATCAAAGCAAGGAACGGAAAAGCAAGACAAGCTTTCACTGCTCTCAAGTCTGTGTGGAGGTCAACAGCACTTCTGAGCATCAAAACTAAGATCCGGATTTTCAACTCCAATGTGAAGTCAGTCAGTGCTACTATACGGATCAGAGACTTGGTGGGTCATAAAGAGCATCTCAAACAAACTACAGACCTTCATTGATAGTTGTCTTCGCTCAATACTCAGGATCAGATGGTCAGAAAAGATTAGCAACAGAGATCTCTGGTAATGAGCGAAGCAACACAGCAGGAACCGATTGTGAAACAAATAGGCAGGAAGAAATGGAGATGGATTGGCCATACTCTGAGGAAACCATCAAGTGACATCACTAGACAAGCCAGTGCTCGAGTGGAACCCGAACGGGAAGCGGCGAGTTGGTCGTCAGTGCAAGGGTGACTTGGAGGAGGTTACGTGAAGAGGAGATGAAGGCGTGTGGGCAGACTTGTAGTCAGGTGAAGACCCTAGCAGAGAACCGAACGCAATGGAGACGCACGGCTGAAGCCCTTTGTTCCTCTAGAAATTAAAGGAAACAATAATAATATAATATTATACTACCAGCTGACAAAGGAAGAGCAACAGTAATTATGGACACAGAAGACTACATAAAGAAAGCAGATGATTTACACAAAGATAGTAATGTATATCAACAGTTGACGAAGAACCCTATAGAAACATTGGATAACAAGGTCAAAATAGCCTTAAATAAACTAAGGAAATCAGAACAAATTACAAAAAACAAGATCAATGGCGAATGAAATCTAATGGACCTGTATTACCTCGATTTGACGGTAGACGGAAACTGCACAAACCAATTATTACCTTACGACCAATCGTTTCTCTGTCAGGAACACCGACATATAATCTATCTAAAGAACTTTTCAGGACATTAAAATACCTAACAGAATCATGCAACTATTCTGTCAATTCTCCAGTCCAGTTTTTAGAGAAAATCAAAACATTCAAGTGGGTGACAATGAAATAATAGTGTCTTTTCGATGGCATAACAGTATTTCGCACTTCAAATGGTACAAAACTAGCAACAGAAACTATGCAACAGTTACTCTGTGGTGATGAAAACACGAAAAGCAATGTTCAACTTGGATGGAACTCAAAGAAATATGTCCTAAAACACGTTTACAGTTCAATAATCAAATAGGGGAACAGGTAAAAGGAACACCAATGGAATTGCCTATATCAGGATTAATAGTTGAAGCCGTCAAGCAAAGATTAGAATTAACAGCCCCACCCTATAGTTAAACCGAAGATCTGGGTACGTTACGTTGTTGATATATTTGTGATAATTAAAAAAAATGTGATTTGGAATATACCCATAAATTAATTAACAACATATCTGAAGCCATCATATTCAAGAGAACTAACACAGGAAATTAAGAAACACAAATATATAGAAAATCAATGCACACAAAACAAATACTCAGCTATAGTATTAATAACCCAATCCAATTATCCACAAAAGCAACTCTGTGCAGACATTGTTTAAAAGAGTTCAAACACAATGTAGCACTACTGTGGTGTTTTTAATGTTTTAATGTTTTTGATTACAGCTTGATGCCACACCGTATTTTCAGTACAAGTATGGAATTTTCAGCATGGATATTGGTAGCCCAAATTTACAGGCCGACCATAGATATCGGGTGTGCGTCGGCAGGGGATCGAACCTCGGACCATGTGCATGGTCGGCGAGAGTCCCAACTACTGCGCCACCGACGCACAGAGAATGGAGGAAAATTCCTACTAACCATCATCAAAAAGAGTAGATATCCTTACCACAATTTCATCAAAAAGTGCTTAAACATCAAAGACCACAAGAAAATTCATCCTAACCTATGTAAAAAATATCTCTGAAATAACAGCTAGAATACTAAGACTCTGGCTGGCCAGCCAGCCAGTCAGAACAATCACTTCATTCAATATTGTGTAAACCAAAAGACACATCCTACAAGAAAAGAAGATAAAATTAATACCATTTACAAAATAAATTGTACGCATGAACTGTAACAGACATTACATCGGTTCAACAAAGTGGGCGTCCGTTTCGTGTCCGAATTCAAGAGCACAAATTGGCTGTAAAAAGGCACGATATGTATTACCATCTCATATCAATGCATGTAGATTATTACGGACACCGATTTGATTGGGATAATGTAGAAATTCTAAATAGAGTAAACACCAGACAGTTATGCCAGAGAATTTCTAGAAGCCTGGCACTCAAGTGTATCAGCCACCGATTAACAAACACACATTACCTCGATAGACCAAATTTACCAACTAATAAAAAGTAAATCATCCCACGACCAAGAAGTTCAAATTCCACGTCAGTCAATAAACATGATCAATGGAGACGTAAATCAACAAACAGTCACAACAATGGTTGTCAGTAGAGAGATACAAGTATACCATCACTCAAAGAGAATTTAAATGAGTTCATTACATACTAAAACCTCCATTGAAGCGATGTTGTCTAGAAGCGGGCTGACGAAAGCTTCGCGATTAAATCAACTGGCAGCTCCGAGAACACAACTAATTCAAAGGTAAGCTTAGTTAAAAGTCTACATAATCGTTCTCAAAGCCTAACTAGTAAGCCAGAAGATTTAAATAATGAAAAAAAAACAGATGAAGAAACTACTACTACTGAATAACTAACTACCCACCAGAATTTAACCAGAAATGTATAAAAAACCATAGAAAATATAATACTAATAATGATAATGATGAAAGTAACATAAATAACATGAAATTCAAAGCCTCTGTAGTAATTCCATATAAAGAAAGAACATCAGGAGCTCTAATTATGCTGCAATTAGAGTGGCCGTAAAACCAACCAACATTCTCAAAGGTAAACTTTATTTGATTGCATGGGGGATTTCATCATGAGCTGACATCAGTTAGAGAACCAATGTTGGCAGAAGTTAGAATTCAAGGACCAATGGATCGGGTCCCAGTGGCTCAATGGTCTACGAGCTAGCTAACCTTGTAACCAGAAGGTCCTGGGTTCGAACCCCTGTGGATGCGTACTGATGAAGAGTCCCAAACTAGGCCGAAACAGATGTTCAGTACTCCCTGCAGGTTTTCCAATGGTTCTGTAACTGATGTCAGCTCATGATGAAATCCATTATGCAATCAAACAAAATCCCTACAAAACCAATACTTGAAAATAAACTTTATTGGCCTAAGGACCCAACAGATCCAATTTTCAAAGGCAATTTAATTTAACAATTATCATGTAATGAATGCATGGTCAGTTACATAGGTGAAACTAGTAGATCAAGGTTAGTTACGCTATCGCAAGATAGAAATTTAGCTGGACCTGGTAAGTTAAATAAACCAGAAAAAAGCTCGGACACTGCACTGCATTCATACAGTAGAGGGCGACAGCGTGAAAGTGTAACAACAAAAGGCGAGACACGGAAGCCGTAGTAAATTTTTCATTGATAAAACCACTGTTTATATATGTACAGTTTACATTTGTTAACCAATCACTGAACGTGTGATTTGGTTTACATTAAACTACATGAAATAGAATGTTGAAATACATGTATATTATTCTGTTGCTAACGCAGTATTGAACTTTGGGAATATGTGAGAATAATATTCCGTTGGAACACATTGTCTGTATCACACCACCACACTATTAGTGAACGATTATCGGGTAATGAAGAATTTAACTAAGAAGAATAAACACGATTGTATAAATGTGATAACAAGTTTGGAAAGTATCAGGGATTAGTCATTGGAGAGTTGTCGTTACTATTTTAACGACAGAAGACAAGGGCCAGGTAACAGGTCGTTTGTTGAGAAAATCAACAGATATTTATAGATTTTTATGTACATTATTGTCAGCGGAGAGAAGCAACCTCTACTGATTGGTTGTTTTCTTGCTAAAGGTTATTTTGTCATCTCTTTGTGGTCGTTTTTCAGAAAGTTAAGCCATTTATCAGTGAATCGTAAGTGCACACGTTGAGTCTACTGTGATTGGTTGTTGAGTTCCTCAGGGTTAAGCTGTGTTATTGTTTTTTTCTCATGACCCTGATTCGAGATGCGAACATTGACGTAAATTGTTGTCTACAATTTTGGCTAGCAGACAGCTCTCACCGCACTATGTGTTTAGTCCTTAGTGTTGATGCAAACCAAATCCTATCTTTGATATTTTGTTTCTTCTCTAGAATTACTATAAACAAAAAGGACTTAGACAACCAACACGTCCTGATTTTATCAAGTCAACATTTGATGATGCGGCAAGTTATCTAGTGAAAAATCTTAAAACGTATTTTGAACAAGCAGAAACCTACAGGAGTTTATGCATAAAAGGTAAAAAAAAACGAAGTGATTACAGCTTACAAATAATTTCTTTAATTTGATTGGTTGGAGGGTTTCACATGAGCTGACATCACTTAGAGAACCATTGGAAAACCACCAGGGAATACTGGACAGCCAGCTGTTTCGTCAATACAGTTTGGGACTCTTCGTCAGTGCGCATCCACCCACCGGGGTTCGAACCCAGGACATTCTGCTTACAAGGTTAGCAAGCTCGTAGATCATTAAACCACTGGGACCCTATCCAACGGTCAATCCATGAATTCTCACTTTTGCCGATTCACGAAATAGTGCGACCACTTATCAATGTCTTCGATGATCGGGTCCCAGTGGCTGAATGGTCTACGACCTAGCCAGCCTTGTAACCAGAAGGTCCTGGTTTGTGATGACGAAACAGTTGGCTGTCCAGTACTCCCTGGTGATTTTCCAACAGTTCTCCAACTGATGTCAGCTCATGATGAAACCCTCCAACCAGTCAAATACATTCCCTACAAACCAATACTTGGAAAATCTTTTATTTATTTATTTCATTTTGTAAAATTTGTTTTTTTTTTTAAAAATTTATTTTCTGTGTTTCTGTAAGTTGACCTTATTTGAATTGATCTCTATACTTGATCAAATCAGCAGTTAGTACGAGATATTTTGGATAGTGCGCATTTTTTGGTTACATTGGTTTCCGAAAGGAACACACGACTTCGACCTTGAGCTTTGGAGTTTCAGTAGCTGTGGTGAAGTTGCTAACCACACGCCAATCTTTCCCTCTTCAACAGGCTTACTAACGGATAAATGAGGTTCAGGGACGGGGTTGTCGGTTGGGGATCGAACCTCATACCACCAATGTGGTTGTAGAACATCCTACGACTGCACCATAGACACGTACACTATATTATTTTATTCAGTTTGTTCTAATAGATCTTTCAGCTGATTTAATTTGTTCCTAATTAGGTTTCTGTCGTTTCATATTGACCACTTCTTGAGGAGAAATGCTTCTGATGTGCTAAAGCTTGTGTTTCCCTTGTCAACCTTTTTCTTTTTATATTATCTCTAATGAGTCAAGTTAAAGTATAACGATCTCGGAGTACGAACACACACCAGTGACCTTGAAGGCGTACTGCTCGTTGGACAATGTACCCTTCATTATTTTAGAGCCACTATGAAGAGGCATGACAGAGGTCACTTCCTTCAATTATCCCGCTAGGAAGCACGCTTTCAACCACAAACAATCGGAATGGAGGAAGATATCAAAGCAGGCCGGAATGGGAAGGGCAAGATACACCGTCATCAACCTGAAACCAGTTTAGAAATCTTCTGCTTCACTCACTCAACCAGCAAGCATAAAGAACAAGATTCGGATTCTGTTTAACACAAATATGAAGTCAGTCAGTCAGTCAGTCAGTTCTTCTCTACGGGTTAGAAACTTGCACTGCGCACCTGTTACAAAAATGATTTGCAGCAGCCTGTTACAGAGTTATATCAACAACTGCCCACTTCTCTGGCCGGCTCCATATTGAAGATCAAATGGCCAGCTGACCAGCCAGAAAGAATTAGCAAGAACAAACTTTGGCTGAAAACAAACCAACAAACAATAGCCGGTTGCTCAACAAATCTGTGGGAGAAAATGGAGATGGACTGATCGGGCATACGCCCCTGAGGAGTGCGTCGAATAATATAGCGCTCAATGCAGACCACAGCTGTAGTGAAATTCCAATGAGAAGCGATGAGTGGGTCGTCGGTGCGAGTGTGACATGGAGAAGGTCGTGTGAGTTGGAGGAGAAGGAGATGAGAGGTTATGGTCATTCGTGGAGCCAGTTAAGTGAAGAGGACAGCAGAGAGTAGAACGAAGTGGCGATGTGTTGTTGAAGCCCTATGTTCCACCTGGAACCAAAGGGAATAATAATAATGAAGCAAATATGGCGCAAATTTCATCCCTATCTCGTTTTTCGGTACTGCCAATAGCTTAAAGGTTACGATTAGATTTAGAGTTAGGATTAAAGTTAAAGTTATGGTCAGGATTAGGGTTTCGTTTAGGATTAGAATTAGGGTTCGGCTGGTGTTTTATTCTTATTATCCGTATTCCTTAAGTAAATAGTTGCTGATCCCCTAACTAGAAATCGTAATAACTCATCTGAGGGCTTTCGAAAAGACTGAAAAATAGGATAAGAGCGACGATATATGAGTCACGAAAAGAACTCACCTTCAGTTAGTTCGATGAATACATGTACATTGACTGGTTTAATCTGATATGTGATGCTCACCATCATAATTGGGAGACATTTTTTAAGTTTTATCAGTATTCTCTGCATTTCTCCTGTAAAAATAAACATCATTTTATACCGAAACAACTGGTTTCTGTGTGATTAGTCACCTCAAGGTCTTTCGTGCGTTCACATTTCATAGTTCGTTACAGTTTAAATTTATCTTATTATGAATTTTTATGAATAGGAATAATGATTATTCAGTATCATTTTTGATGAAATTCTTGTCTAATATTTTTTAGTCTTATGCCCCCCCCCCGCCATAAACGACTTGATGCAGCCGATGGTGATTAGACTTTAGTCATCCTCTAGAAATAATGTCACGTGGTCACGCATTCGAAGTGTCTGTTAAGCAAAACCGATTCACTGCCTTCACGCGTGTCTTTTGGGTGTTTATCACAAAAGTTAAAGGGAGAATGCGAGTGTGTCTGGCGCTGACACTCGGAATACTGAACATGCTGATCTTCCAAACCTATCATGCACATTGGCTTCAGAATTCGAAGGTACTGAATACCGTATGGTCATCGACAACTATAGGAACGTAGCTCCCAACGATACTTTGTTGCCTTATGGATCAGACATCAAGTTAAAGGCTCTCAGGGTGGCCCCCTTAAGACAAGGACCTACTTTGGCCTAGGCGTCTAGACAATGTCCTATTCTTCATACACAATATAAGCGTCTGTGTGATTCATCTCTTGGTGAATATAATGTAGCAAGTTTGTGGTTTGATAATAATTTCTCGTATGTCGTAGCGATTAGTCTATGTACTTAAGTATTCTTTGCTCCTATAGGTGAATGGTTCATTTAACCACGACGCTTTCGTTGTCCCCATTGATCTACTACTGGATATAATCACACTGAAGTTCACCAGCGGGAAGAATTACTTCATCTAAGGAGAATTTTCAGAGCTCATTTCACATTGAAGTTAACCCTGAAGATACTGTCCAGAAGGACAACGAAAGCTTCACAATTAAATGAACAACTCAACAAAGAGCTACAATAGCTACAAATCTTCCCCCATTAGTCTAAGTATTCTGTTTGTAAAAACCCTGTATTCAGCATTTTCTTCTTTTTATTATTATTATTCCTTTATTCTAGAATTCTCTGAACAACTGAATAAAATTGAATATTTAGCAAGTCAGCTACCAAATTTACTCTTTGAAGATATGACAAATGAATTAAAGTGTCATATTTTAAATGAATTTATTGCCTGTGAAAATTCAATACGATCAGAGATGAATGAATTAAAAGAATTACAGGTAATTTGAAGTTATTTGCGTTATATACTACTGACTGGTGGATGTGAGTAGTTGGATTCCATTAACATCAACTAGTAGCGATTGTTAACAAGACTGAGGTGATTTACACTCCACACAGACATTTTACTTTTTCGAGGCTGACATAATCAGCGATCTAACTACCCCCTAACGAGTGAAACAGTCGTTGGGTGTGGAGATTATTTTGATCTGGCTAACAAGCATTCATCTGTGCTTTTATCCTCTAAATTAGCATTTTGACTGATACAGATTTATTGGGGGATTTCATTATGAGCTGACATCACTTAGAGTACCATTGGAAAACCAGCCACAAGGAGTACTGGACAGCTGTTTCGTCAGCCTAGTTTGGGACTCTTCATCAGTACGCACCCATCGATTGGGGATCGAGCCCAAGGCCTTCCGGTTACAAGGCTAGCGAGCTCGTGGACCCTCAAGCCACTGGGACCCAACTTAATGACCAGTCCATGAATCCTAACTCCTGCCAATTCACGACATAGAGCGACAAATTCGCAATGTCTTCTTCGATGAGTTACTGCCTCTTCTTCAACCTGTTGTACCCTACTGGTCACAGCTTCCCACTAGAACCCCAGATCACTGCCTGAATAGGACCAGTCACTAATGAGCATCAGATCAGTTTTCAGGTATTGGTTTTGTATGGATTTTGTTTGATAGGTCGGAGGATTTCTTCATGAGCTGATATCAGTTAGAGAACCATTGGAGCCATTGATACAGATTTAACTTTAACCTGTTAATTTTTGTAGAAGTATCTGTGACAAGTACGTGTGTGTGTGTGTGATCAAAATATTAGACAAGTGTTGTGTGAAATACATTGCACTTGTCAGATAACTTATGTCTTTGTCTTTAGTGCCTTGTCAACAGCTTATTAACTCAGAACGTGTTTTTCATGTGTTAGGCTTTGAGTCATACTTATTGCGTAAGTGCTGATGATCTCACTCGCTTGTGCAAAAGCAAAACAGAGTGGGACGGTATATAAACCCAGTAACTCATTGGTTTAAAGGTTAGCGCTTAAGGCAGTGAGCTACATCTCCTCAAATAAAACGTGCTTATGTAATCTGTAACAAGTAAGAGGCTTATTAGAGAAAGACTTAAACAGGCGAAGAAAACTCTCTTTTCGACGATTCATTTCCATAAACAGAGACTTTATAAGACGACCAATCAGATACTACTGGTAAAGGCGAGGACGCTGACAAAATGCAGAGTCTACTGAACACCCTGAGCAACAATCTCCGTATGTTTGGCATGCGATTCGCCCCTGTAAAATGTAAGATTATGCTACAGGATTGGACTTAACCGACCACTAGATTAGAAATAGGAAGTCGAAATGGTAGAGCACGTTGACCGCTTCACTTACTTGGGAAGTACCATCAGCCAGTGCCAACGGGTTGATCTCCGACGAAATCTCAGCACGGATACAGAGGGCTAGGTTCGCATATGCCAGTTTACGCCGTCTCTGGCGTAGACGTGACATCTGACTATTGACCAAAGGGCGTGTGTACTGCTCAACAGTCCGCTCCGTCCTCCTTTACGGCTGTGAGACCTGGCCATTGAGAGTGGAAGACATGAAAAGATTATCTGTGTTCGATCATAGGTTTCTGCGTTCTATCTCCCGTGTGAAGTGGTATAATAAGGTGAGCAATATTGAGGTTAGGCATCGGTCGAGTGCTAGGTAAGGCGGGGAAATCAGTCGACGAAACTGTGAAATTACATCTACTGAAATGGTTAGGACATGTGCTACGTATGCCTGGTCATCGCCTTCCTCGATGACGGGCAATGTCAGCTGATATAGGGCCAGGCTGGAAAAGAGCTAGCGGTTGTCAAACCAAAACATGGCACCAGTCAATGAAATTTACAACAGTTAGTCTAAGCCACGTAGGAAGATGTAGACTTCCTGGTTGGGGTCCTCGGGACGGTAAAATCCAATGTTTGGAAACAATTGGTGACATGGCTCAAAATCGTTCTCAGTGGATGGCGCAGATGCATCCACTCCTTGTGACTCATGATTTCCAATGAAACTGTTTTGTTCTTTGTTATTACTATTCCTTTGTCTCACACCTCTGTTTACTGTCTATACTATGCATTTCTCCTACTTTCTTCTCTTGCTTTGTGTGGTACATGAAGGGAGTGTGGTGACTTGAACTGCCGCACATATGTGCAAAGTTCTATGTCGAAAACCGACCGACCGACCGACTGGTAAAGTTTGTTCTCGGAAACGTGTAGCATAATGTAAGGTGTAATCTAGAAGGGGATAACTATTTGGAAATTAGAAAGGGTGGGGACAAAAGTTGGGATGGCGTAATGAATGTGAGAAAATGACTAATTGGTATAGTTGTGCGGAATGGACGAGTACTAGTGGAGAAATGATAGAGTGTTTTTACAAACTCTGCATGAAAATGCAATGTTATTAACAGTGATAATAAAATAAGGATGATGAGAATAATAATAATAGTAATGGTAATAGTAAACTTACATAATAAAACAAAGAAAAATTATGGTAAAAACGTTAATCTGACGACGGTAGGGCGAAGGAATGCAGACGTCTGGTATCAGATCCCGAATATCCAGTGTACCAGTTATGCACAGATAGCTTATTCGAAGTTTTTCTCGTACGATATTGAGTAACTGTGTGTAGCTCTGTGAAACATTCAGGCAGGTGTGCCCGATGTCCAGAGTTGACAAGGTGTTCCACGATGAAGCTGCTACTATTCTTCTTTTCTCCTCTGGCTAGCTAACTATGATGGACAGTGTTCCAGAATACGTTTGTGGGCTTGACGTTGTGAACGTCTGATATGCTGTGCTCCATTCGAACAAGTAAACTGGTAAATACACACCACTGAGGTGGCCAAAAGCGGTATTTTATCCGAGAATGTGATACGTAAGCTGGCTTCTGGAAATGTCTTTTTCATACAGTTAGAAAGGCATTTCGTAAGAATTCCTGCTTCGATGTCACCGTTGAATTCCAGGTTCATGAAGAGAGTTTTCTTAGGAAATAAAAGTTTTTTAAGGCACGATACGCCTTCATCGACCTAAAACCAGTTTGGAAACCTTCTACTTCAGTCACTCAACTAGCATAAAGAACATTATTCGGTTTGTGTTCAACACAAATGTAGAGCCAGTCAGTCAGTCAGTTCTTCTATACGCGCGCACTGCGCCTGCTTCACGAATAGAATTTCCAACAGCATGCTGCAAACTTTTATCAACAGGCTCCATAGTGAAGACCGAATGGTCAGTCGGCTTGCCCACCAGATAGAATTTGCAAGAAGAAACTCTGCCTGGCTGGGAACAAACCAACAGGCAACAGCCGATTGCTCAACAAATGTGAAGGGGAAAATGGAGATGCACTGGGCATACACCATTGAGGATACCGTCGAATGACACAGCGCACCAGGCCATCACTCGAATGGAAGGAGAATGGGGAGCGACGATTGGGTCGTCACTGAGAGAGAGTGACATGGAGGAGACCGTGTGAGTTGGAGGAGGAGATGACAGGTTGTTAGGAATCTTGGAGCTAGCCAGCTGAAGAGGATGGCAGAAGATAGAACGAAGTAGAGGTGTGTTGTTGAAGCCCTATGTTCCACTCGGAACCCAAGTGAGTGAGTGAATGAGGGAGTACTGCCGAAGACTCCCAAGCTGGGATGAAACGGCCGCCTATTACTCCTTGGTTAGCCAATGATTATCTAAGAGATGCCAGCCCGTGTCAGGATCAAAACTTGTAAACAATCGATATTTTTATTAAATTCATAAAACTGATCCTATAGTATTTTCGAACGATTTTATTTTTTAGATTAAATATAATGCTGAACTTCATCCAGAGATTTGTAGTCCAGGTAAAGAAAGCCAGTTAATATCGCTCATTAAAAAAGAGAATGAACGTCGAATAAATTTCATTAAATTAATACATCGTATAAAGAATATGAAAAGCCAAATTATTCATAAAGGAAGACAGTTATTTAGTCAACGTTTATCTAAGCTGACAGATTACTTATTTATTAGATTTGACAGCCTTATTGGATCTGATGAAATTGACTATCTAGGTAAGCAGAGTTTGTTTTTATCTCTTTTATTGTTTTTTCTTTGCTAATTTAATCCCTGGATCATGGATTCAGGAGAAACAGATCATGTGCTGACCGAATTGCAGAGCTAAACATCATTGTTATGGTACAGAACACATAGAATGGTTTGCAATTAGTTGTGTTCTCTGAGGAACTGGTTGGTTAAATTGAGGAGCTTTCGTTGTCCAGCTTCTAGAAAACATCTTCAGTGCAAGTTTTAGCATAAAATGATATGATTTAAATTCCCCAATGAATGATAGAATTGCGTCTCCTGGGAGCAAACATCTTCGTGACTGGTAGTCGATTTACACCTGTATTGATCATTTTTTTATGGATTTCGATTTTGAGCTTTTTCGTCACATGATTTACTTTTTATTAGTTGGTAAATTTGTTATCGCTGATTCGCTTGAGTACGAGGCTTCTAGGAATTCTCTGGCATTACTGTTTGGTGTTTCCTCTGTTTAAAATTTCGACATTATCTCAATCAAATTGATGTCCATAATTATCTACATGCATTGATATGAAACAGGAATGCATATCATGTCTTTTCACAACTGATTTGTGTTGCTGGATTCTGATTCGAAGGGGACGCTCACTTTGGCCGATGTAATATCTGTTACAGTTCATACAACTTATTTTGTAAATGGTATTGATTTTATCTTCTTTTTCTGTTGAATGTGTCTTTTGGTTTGCTCAATATTGAAGGAAGTGATTGGATTTGCTTTCATATCAGTGCACGTAGATAATTACAGACACCAATTTGATTGCGTCGGTGGCATAGCGGTTAGGATGCTCGCCGACCATGCACATGATCCGGGGTTCGAACCCCCGCCGACGCACTCCTCTACCTCGCTAAGCCAGAAATAATGCTGGTGAAGAGGAGAGGTTGGGCATGAGGCTAGCAACCCCATCCTGTAAAATAAACACTGCTACAGAAACTTCAAACCACTAGCTTGAAGCCCTATGTTCCACTGGGGAACGTGAAGGATAAAAAAAAATTTGATTGGGATAATTTAAAAATTGTAAATAGAGGAAGCACTAAAAGTGCCATAAAATTCCTAGAAGACTGGTACTCAATTGAGTCAGCTAGCGATTAGCAAACATGTTAATGTAGACCAAATCTACTAGCTAATAAAAAATAAATCACATGGCGAGAAAGTTCAAAATCCAAGTCAGTCAATAAAATATGATCAATACAGGTGTAAATCGACTACCAGTTACGAAGATGGTTGCCAGGAGATATACAAGTATATCATTATTCATTGGGGAATTTAAGTCAGTTCATTTTATGCTAAAAATTGCGCTGATAGGGGATGTTGTCTAGCAGGGAGACGACGAAAGCTCCTCAATTAAAACAACCAGCTCCTCAGATAAACACAACTAATTGCAAATCATCCACCTGAGCTACAAATCTTCTCTATTACACAGATTGATTGTCAAGTGTATACCTAAACTTCATCGACTTTGAAAGTACTTTAGCACTATGGAATGTAGCAAATCTTTATCAACCTTATTCAATAGCTCATTGACAATGTCACACGTGTCAAGTGATCCGCAACGGAAAACTCAATGAAACCCTAGAAATGAAGACAAGAATAAGACAAGGCGGCCTACAAACACCTATGGTCTTCTTGATTGGGGTGGAGGGTATTATGCAACAGACGGTGGGTAGAGAGAAGACAGTAATACGCTCGATCAACAAGACGACTGTAGGGCATCTGGATTTTGCCGATGACATATGTCCAACGTCACATAAACTCGAAGATCTACAGGCGAAAACAAACAAGTTGATCGAAGAGGCTGGTAGCTAAGATAGGACATCAAGTGATGAACATGCAGAAGAAAGATGGGATGAAGATATTTAACAACCAACACCAAAGCAGAGCAGACATTCGTTACTCTGAAACTCTGTGTACAAATCTGCTGCATTCAGCAGATAACATCAATTCAGTGATTCCATATGGTTTAGAAACTTGTCATGTGAGTCATAAAAAAGAATTTCAAACTGACTGCTGCAGACTTTCACTGAAAGCTACCTTCACCATCTCACTACTGAAGATCAGAAGGCCAGAAATGATTGGCAGTTAGGAACCAGCCAAGAATCTATCACCCAATCAATATGAAGGAGGAAATCGGGGTAAACTGGATACTTCCTGAGGACACTGTTGAATGGTAACACACACCATGCTCTTTAATGTCACTCAAATAAGAAATGCCCAGTCAAGCATGAATCCGAGGGTAACATAAAGGAGATCGTGTGAAGAGAAGATGGAAGCATATGAGCATATGAGTAGAGCCAACTTAAGAGGATTGCAATAGACAGGATGAAAACGAGGTGTACTGTCGAAGCTTTGTGTTCCACTTGGAACCTAATGGAATACTAATAATAATGTAATCCAATTTAATTTCATTGAGTAAATTAGCTTAAAAAATGACAGTAATAAGCTGGTGTTCACCTTCTCAACATAATCAATCAACGGGAAATGTAAAATTTGCCTGGATTCAAATGATAACTAGTGTTCATTGCACAAGACGTGGATCTCGTGGGCTAATGGATAGCGACTTGACGTTTACAACGACGGGTACCGAGTTTGAATGTCAGTGGGAACCCCACTGGAAATGCAGGTTCATTCAGGCTACGAGTAACGAATGGGGCGAAGTACGCATACCGGCTTCCACTGCTGGTCACCACCGACTGAAATAAGTGACACAATATTACTGTATGCTGTAATCTGATCACAGATGTTGAATGACGCGTGTGCAGATTCCTACTGATGAATACATTCGATTTGACATTCGGTAGTAGCTAATGTCATGTGTATAGTCCTTTGTCCGTTGAAGACTGAATTCTCTCAGTCAGTCACGTTTACATTATTACCACCATTCTAGGTGGCTCGTCATCATGACGTACTCAGAATTGTTGTTAAATGATTAGAAGCAATCGCCAGGACGCCTTGCCTGACTAACGTTTCGTGTTAGTTGGCACTCACCAGTCTGTCAACAAGGATCTACAACCTTGGAAGAATATCATGTTCCTTCGAAGATTCACCCAGTGCTGCCTGAAGTCAGAAATGTTACCATTGAGCTATTCAGGCTCGCGATTCACCTCCCATGAAACTGCATTGGATATTTTGATTGAACAATAGTCAGTGACTAGTGTAGTCCGTCTATTCCTTTGTTTGCTGCAGACTGGATTCTACCTGTCAATCAAGTTTGCTGTGTGGCCACCATGCCAGCTAGGTGGCTCGCCATCACGGTGCACTTTGAATTGTTGATATTAGACGGTGGCAGGAAATCGGCAGGAAGCCTTGAACCTAGAATTCGTGCTTTTTGGTATGTAACGACCGAGAACAAGAGTCAGGCAACAGATCGTTTATTGAGAAAATCAAGAGATATTTATAGATTTTTATGTACATTATTATTCGTTATTGTTAGTAGAGAGGTAACGTCTTCTGATTGGTTGTTTTCCTGCTGAAAGTTATTCTGTCATCTCTCTTGTTTCCGTTTCTTAGGCAGTCCGTCGATATATCTGCTAATCGTATCCGCCCACGCTAAGTCTCCTGTGATTGGTTGTTGAGTTAGTCTTTTTTCTTGTGTTTTTTTCTCATGACCAAGATTAGGGCCGTAAACATTGACATAAATTACTGTCTACCAATTTTGGCTAGCAGGCAGCTCTCACCACAGATATTTGTCAGCAAGGTGTTTCTGCAAACCTGAAGGAATTGATGATCCACAATGAAGGCTTGACTAGTAGAATTCGGTCTACATTAGACGTAGGAGAGTATCCATTGCAGTCCTATAGGAGGTCGACTGCTAGCCGAAATAGTTCAGTGATAACATCTCCAACTTCAGCAGCACCAGGTGACTTAGGTTAGAATCTCAAAAAGGACATGAGTTGCTACAAGATTTTAGGTACGCCTGGCATGAAACCCAGGTCAGGAAGGACTACCTGCTGAATGCCTTCAACCATCTAACTTCTGATTTGCATACCCACAAACGACGTAATTCTAATTTGTAAAAACTAATCACACTGCAAAAAAGAATAATCCGATTTCCACTCAATAATTTAACTAATACTCGACTGACCTTTATCTCCTAATACGATGAATAATAAACTTTATGTATATATATATATACCACTTTGGAAGTTTTTATTAACATAAATTTCAAATTGTTACATTCTTCTGATACATTCTGAAAGTTCATACAATTAACGTCTACTCTCACCCTCCTTAGAACTTCCAGTTAATATTTCAGTTTTATTTCGCTAAACTTTTGACATAAAATTACACCTCTCTAGTATAAGAATATTATTATAATCTCCTCAGGCAGCGAGTGTAACATACAATTTCAACAGCAAACCGTCATTTCATCCTATTTTCTGAAGCCGTCTTTAGCTAGCTTCATGATTTTGAAATAATAAAGGAGATTTGTAACTCAAGTGGATGATTTGCAATTAGTTGTGTTCTCTGAGCAGCTGGTTGATTACTTAATTGCGAAGCTTTCTTCATTCTTCTGGACAACATCTTCATCGGATACTTCAATTTGGGGTGAGCTTTTAGATTTCTCTGCGGGTTTATTAGTCTCTCTCTCTCTTTCTATCGGTGACCTAGAACGTGACACTGGTTGTTTTTGTGTGTTTTCACACCCTCCAGTCTACTCGTATTGGTTGGTACTGACTGTTTCCTTGACCTAAGGTTAGACCCTTTTTGTGTGTGTGAGATTTCCCTTTTATCCAGCTCAGAAAACACAGCTACATCAAAAGCATCCACCTGAGCTACAAATCTTCACCATCAAAAAGAAGGTTTATATAGAATGAAAGATAATCCTGGTGTTAAGAAACTGAACATTTTAATTAGATCAGAAACACAGAGATGAAATATGATCAGCAACGGAAGTTCTTATCATGCGAAATCTTATCAAATATGTGAAACTTATTCAAGGAAATTAACGATGTTAAACAAATGAATAATGTCTCTTCTTCAAGTGTTGCTGATACGTTCGGTAAATCCTTCATATGTCGTCCAGTCTGTCTGTCTGAATTCAGCATAGAACTTGGCACCGAAGTGCAGCAGTTCGAGTTGCCACGTTCCAAAGAGCACACAAACGTAGACAAAAAAATGAGCGAAGGGAATCAAAAGAGTTTTGACAAGTATAAGAGTGAAACAGAATGAGTAATGGTAGAAAGGAATATGAAAGATTACAGAGACTGAATACATCTGCGCCATTGACAACGATTTTGAGCCATGTCACTTTTTGTCTCCAGCCATTGATTCTTAGAGTCCCGAGAGTCCCAACCCGGAATTCTGCATCTCCCTACCTGACTCAGTTTAACTGTCAGGGATTTCATGGATTGATGAGGCCATGTTTTTGTTTGGCCACCACTTACTCTTTTCCAACCTGCACCTATATCAGCTAGTAATGCCTGTCCGTCGGGGGAGGCGATGGTTAGTCATGCGCAGGACGTGACCTAGCCATCTTAATCTATGTAACTTCATAGCCTCTTCGAGTGATTTTCCCTCTTTGCCCAACACTCTACGCCTAACGTCAACATTACTTACTTTATTATACCACCTAACGCGAGAAAGAGATCGTAAACATTTGTGGTCAAAAACAGACAATCTCTTCATGTCTTCCGCTCTCAACGGCCACGTCTCACCGCCATAGAGAAGGACGGAGCGAACTGATGAGCAGTATACACGTCCCTTGGTTGACAGTCGGATGTCACGCCTACGCCAGAGACGGTGTAAGCTAGCGAAAGCAGTCCGAGCTTTCTGGATCCGTGCTGAGATTTCGTCACCAATCAATCCGTTGGTGCTGATACAACTTCCCAAATAGGTGAAGTGGTCAACATGTTCTATCATTTCACTCCCTATCACTAAGCTAGGAGTTGACGTAGTCCAGTCCTGTAGCAGCATCTTACATTTTACAGGGGCGAATCGCATGCCAAACATACGAAGATTGCTGCTCATGGTGTTCAGAAGACTCTGCATTTTGTCAGCATCTTCCCCTAACAGGACTATGTCGTCTGCGTATTCTAAGTCCATAAAACTATTCCCTGATAACAAGTCCATTCCTAAGTCGTTAAGTTCAGTTTAGGATACTTCCATTAGCATATCTATGATGAAATTAAACAGGAATGGGGAAAGTGGGCATCCTTGACGGACACCACTGGTTGTTAACAATTCAGATGACAATTCCCCATAAGCCCTTACATGGCTACATGAGTTTGAGTAGAGTGCCTTGATTAGTGCAATGTACTTTCTTGGCACTCCCTTTACAGTCAAACATTGCCATAGTACCTCTCAATCCACGGAGTCAAAGGTCGCCTTCAAGTCAAGAAATATGGCAATTGTTGGACGCCTAAAAGTGTGTCTATGTTCTACGATCTGTCGGAGAGTGAAGATATGATATGTTGCCCAGTAGATGTTATGATTTCAAATACTCCAAGTGTATATAATGGTTGCTCCTCCGGTTTTAACTCAAACGATGTCCCCAAGTGTCACAAATCTCTGAAACCTACCCAGTCCCTTGGTCCCTATGGCATACCAGCTATTATCCTCAATAAATGTGCTGACAGCTTATGTTATCCTCTCACTGGTATTTTCAATGAATCATTTTCCAGTGATATTGTTCTTGAATCTTGGAAGGATATTAAAATTGTTCCTGTGCTCAAATCATCTAGTGGACCAACTGTTAAGTTCATACCTACTACTATCACTTCACCTTTCTTAAAAATAATGGAAAGACTGCTTTTAGATAACCTCACACCTTCATTGAAGGATTTTAACGACCGTAATCCATTTGCTTATAAACATAGTAGGTGTGCTTTAGATGCCGCTGTCGACTTATATCATAATATTGTTTCTAGTTTAAATAGAGGTGCCAAATATGTTCGGTGTGTCTTCATTGATTACACATCTGCAGCCTTCGACTCTGTGCCTAGGCCTCTTTTGTTAAACAAGCTTACTGCAACACAGGCAAGCTGCTGAATTGCCAAGTGATTGCATTCCTATGTTATGATGGGAAGTCCTCCACTGCTTGCTTCACTTAAACTCTAGATGGTGTTCCTCATGGAGCTGTTTCTTCTCATTTTCTGTTTTCTTTTTTCTCACATAACTCTCCCCATTCTGACGAAGCCAACTTTGTTAAGTATGCTGATAAACTGACTGTCTTTATGACCTGTACTTCTCAGTCAAACTGCCCCAAAATGGTTTTAAGCTAAACCCTGCAAATTTCAGATTGTTAATTTCACTTTCAGACACAATCGCGACTTACATGAACTGTTTAGCTCGCATGGTTCCAATATCATAGGTGGCATAGAAGTTGAAACTGAATCAAATGCTAAATCAAACTGCTGGAAAATGAACCCGAACCACGTACGGATGACTGGCAAGGATTGTACCGCTGATTCATCACTTAGTTATATATACTTATACGTAGCGACATGCATCGGTGGCACAGAGGTTAGGACGCTTGCCGACCATGCACATGGTCCAGAGTTCGATCTTCGGCGGACGCACTCCTTTACCTTTCTAAGCCAGAAATAAAGCTGGTAAAGAAGAAAGGTTGAGCATGAGGCTAGCAAACCCAACCTGTAAAAAAATTAAACACTGCTACAGAAACTTTAAGCTTGTAGCTTGAAGCCCTATGTTCCACTGGGAACTTGAGGGAATGAAAACAATACGTAGCAACCGCCACAGCAGCAGTAATAGTACAAACTATCCCTAATGATTACTTTAGTAAAGATTTCTAATATTTATTTACAGAACACCTTATTTATTTTCTTTGCTTTTTTCTATTTCATCATGACAAAAATTTACATCAGATGAAACTGCGAATTTGAATTCACAGTCAGAAGTTAAAAAACCGTGTAAAATTATGATTAATATAGCAGATCCAGTATCGAATAATCTGAATCCAATCAAGAAGAAACTTGACATCAAAGAAGATACAAATCGTGGTAAACGAACCTGGGAAGGTATAAAATTCTCAGAACTTCTAGAGACGAGTAATTTATCCGCCTTGTCAACATCATCATCATCATCAACAACAACAGCAACACGGACAACTGGAAATAAAACGAAAGTGTCAGCAGCTAAATCAAACACTTTGAGTAGATCTGTACTCAACGATAAGAATGTAATAACATCAAGAAATCAGAAGGGTGCTGCAGGCAGTTCATCAGATCCGCAACGTAATGAACAACAAGATTATTGTTTAGTTAGTGCTAAAACAACACAAGCGCATATGTCAACTTTAAAATCTCGTGATATTGCTGTTGAGGTAAGATTATTTGTTTATTGTTATTTTTATTGTTCCCTGGGGTTTCGAGTGGAACATAAGGCTTCAACAACACATCTCCACTTCGTTCTATTTGGTGCTGCCCTCTTCATCTGGCTAGCTTCACGATCGCCTATAATCTCTCATCTCCGCCTTCGCCTCACACGATCACCTCCATGCCACCCTCGCGCCGACGACCCGCTCATCGCTTCCCATTGAGATTCCATTGGAGATCTAGCCAGGTGTGCGATGTCATTCGACGGCCTCCTCGGCGTGTACCCAATCCATCAGCATTTTCTTCTGTATATATCCTGGGTAATAGATACTTGGCTGGTTTGTTCCCAGGCAGAGTTTCTTGTTGCTAACTCTTTTTCACTTGCCATTTCATCTCCCTTATGGAGTAAGAAAAGTGGGCAGCTGTTGATAAACATCTGCAACACGCTGTTGGAAATGCTTTCGGTGACGTACATTTCAAGTTTATGACCCATATACAAGCAGTGACTGACTTAGGATTTGTGTTGAAAATTCGAATATTGTTCTTTATGTTGAGCGCAGAAGACTGATGAAGGCGTATGTTGCCTTTCCCATTCTGGCCTGCTTTGACATCTTCATCCATTCCGCCTGGAAAATATCACTACCATTAAAATCAATAGGGAGGAAGAAATGATGAAATTAAATAAACGAAGTGTGGAATTTGTGTAAGGGCCTTGATATGATGATTATGAGCAACAATAAATTGTGCTCAAAAAGTGTTAATCAGTAACAATACTGCATAATACTGTGTGCTTTAATCAAATAAATTTACTCCATGATGGAATGATATGATAATGCCACGTGTCAGGTGATCCACAATAGAAAACTCAGCAAGGCGTTCGAGGTGAATACAGGAGTAAGACAAGCTGATATTCTTAATTGTGGTGGAGAGGATTATGTGGAAGACTGTATATAGAGAGTGAGAAGACAGGAATACGCTGGGCTAACCAATAGGAAGACTTTAAAAGATCTGGATTTCGTTCGTGGATGATTTATGTTTAATGCCACTCACGCAAACTCGAAGACTTGCGAGCGAAAACCAACAAACTGGCTAAATTGGAGAGGTAGGCAGCGAAGACGGGACCCAAGGGGAACAGAGAGAAGACGGATTTGATGAAGATGTTGAACCAATAGCACCAATCAACAAAAACGGGAGAGATTTCACAGAGGTTACTTGTTTCATTTATCTAGAAGGTACGGTTTCAACCACAGGTAGTCGGAACGGTTGAAGATGTCAAAACAGGCCAGAATCGGAAAGGTGAGATACACCTTCATCAACCTGAAACCAGTTTGTAAATCCTCTGCTTGACTCACTCAGTCAGGTTACACAACAAAATTCGGATTCTGTTCAACACAAATGTGAAGTTAATCAGTCAGTTCTTCTATATGGGCCAGAAACTTGGCCAGCGTGTCACGAAAAGCATTTCCAATAGCTGGCTGCAAACTTTCACCAACAGCTGCCCACTTCACTGCCTCCACATTAAAGATCAAATGGTCAGCCGGTGGGCTGGCCAGAAAGAATTAGTAACAAGAAATTCTGGTGATGAAAAAACCAACCAAGAGCCGATCGCTCAAGAAATATGTAGGAGGAAATGGAAATGCATTGATCGGGCAAACGTTGAGGAGGCTATTGAATGACATCGCGAGCAATGCAGGCCGTTACTAGAGTGGAAGGTGAATTGGAAGCGACGATTGGGTCGTCATTGTGACGGTGATATGGAGGAGATCGTTTGAGTTGGAGGAAGAGATGAAAGATCCTGGCCAATCATGGAGCAATCTAGCTGAAGAGGAAATCAGAGAATAGAACGAAGTAGGGATGTGTTGTTGAAGCCCAATGTTCCACTCGGAACTCAATGGAATAATAACAATAATAATCACTAAATATAATAATGATGGGATTATACTATACGACAATCCTCAGGTGGTATTCTCATATGTAAAGATTAACTGATGGAAACCAGAAGCGTTTTTAAAACACATAATTTCTCAGAATAGAACACTAGAATGTTGTTAACCTTAGCAGAACATATAGATTAGGCAAATAGGCTATCAAGATTTACCAATGTTTTAACTGTCTAACAGACACCTGCTTCTCTATTCAGTATCAGCTTTTTAACAAATTAAGGTACCTAGACTTTTATTGAAAATATTCTGATGATAGGATCTGTAAGGATTTTAGATTCATTTCAGTTGCTAGATTTTCGTCTAGAACCGACATCACTGGAAACCAAGGGAGCAATTGACAGCTGTTTAATTCTATTCCAAGACTCCTCATCGGCGAGCACCCACGACCTTTCCAGGGAAATGAGCTCGAGACCATGTCAGGTTGAAATAGATGCTTACTGAAGGCACTGGTGAGTGGGTAACGCTACATCATGAGTTGAAATTGTTAGAATTCACAGGTCGGCGGATTCCATCCCAAGCGGGTGAATGGTTAACGAGCTTTGTTTAGTAACCTGAAGGTCCTGTGTTCGACCCCCTGCGTGTACACTGCTGATCTCTCTTACTGTTATTCATTCATGACAAAAGTGTAACATTTGAAATAAGTGAGAATAGATTCGTTAGGCAGATTAAACAAACGCTTTTACGGAGCATGTTTTAGCGTCATAGCCGTCTATCATCAACACTCAGATTGGTTCATATGAGAAGCCAAACTTATTAGAAAGAAACTGGAACTCTCGTGATAACACTGAATACCATTTACAATTTTTATTCGAAACATTTCTGAAAACATACAAAAACCAGTGAACTATAAATCTGTGGTTTTTTAAAAATTTCTTTACGTTTCCCATGGAAAATAGGCCTTCAAGCTAGAGCTTTGAAGATTCGGCAGCAGCGTTTATTTTTACTGGATGAGGTTGCTAGCCAGCCTCCTGCCCAACCTTCCCTCTTTACCAGTCTTATTACTGGCTTAGTGAGGTAAATGAGTGCATCGACCTGGCATCGAACCCCAGACTACATGCGTAGTCGACGAATATTCTACAGCTAAGCCATCGACTCTTATAAATCTGTGATAATAGAGAAGATTTATACCTCAGGTGGATGATTTTGATTTGATTGCATCCTCTAACCTAGGTAACTTAATTGCAAAGCTTTCGTTTTGCTGCTCTAGACAACATCTTTAGCGTCAGATTTATTACGAAGTATGGTCAAATCATATGAAAGCTTGCGCTGAATATGTTGTCTAGGAAGGCAACGAAAGTTTTGAAAATGAATAACCCCAGCTACGAGAACACAACCACATCAAATCTGTGAGATATTTTGACTGAATTGTAGGACATTAGTAGGACTGATTTCAAAGTAGACTTCATCATAAACTGATAATAGGTAGAGAACTATTGAAAATCATGGAGCGCTAGACAGGTGTTTCGTCCTAAATTAGATGTCTTCAGGAGTATGCAGAAAACTAGTTATAATCCAAGATTTGATCGTGTTTATATGTTAACTTCGAAGTTAAACGCATCGAATTGTCAATGAAAGGAAGCATATACATGATTTTAACGCCCTCTCTGTCACTCTTTCCCTTTTTCTCCTTTCAACAGGAATTTCTTTCATTCACTCAACGTTTATTAGAGTCCATAGAAAAGGAATTTACTAGTGCAATTGCAGATAATGATGAGTGTAAAAACCAATGGTCAGATAGTGTTAATCTCTTATCAAAACTTTATTGAATTAACCAAGAGAGAGAAAATCTGATGAAAAATACAACAAATGTGTGTCAAAATGAATGTGTTGTTTTTTTAATATAAGAATAAAACTGGTGCACTATGGTGGTAGAGTACAATTCCAAGATGAATAATATTTTATTTCGATAAAGTCTCACAACGTTTGTTATGCAGTAACATTTACTAATGATAACCACGTATCGAGCACAATTTATTACTACTGCTCATAATCATAGCAAGGTACTTAATCACACAACTTTCTTGCTTCATTTATATACATGAGCAAAAATTGATTAGACATATGAAGAAATATAAAGTTCAGTAGACAATTGAGAAACAAAGGAAGATAAAGTACATTCGGAAATCATAATATTAGTGTTGTCAATTAAATATAATACCATGGGAAATAAGAAGAATGTTGTTAGTTAGTCAGTAAGGCAAATAGACAGTGTAGCAATGCGATCAACAATATCCCCTATCATGGCAGATATCTTTATGGACAGCTGGGAGAATATTGCTCTTAATACATTTAAGCCTTCTCCAAAAATATGGTGGAGATATGTGGATGACACTTTCACAGTATTAAAAACAGAACATATCGCTTGCTTCTTCACGCTCATAAACTCGCTAGTAAAGGGAATAAAATTCATATTTGAATCGGAAAATAAACAAGGAGAATTAACTATGAAGTTAGGATGTAAAATAAAACGAATAGAATAAGCAGAACTGCACACTAGCGTTTATAAAAAGCCAATGCATTCTGCTAATAGATACTAAGACTTTAATTCATCACCTCATACGTTATGTCAGTGAAGACAGAATTAATTAAATGTCTAACAAACAGAGCAATAAAAACACTAAGTAGTACAACAAAAGACCTAAAAGATTAAATGAATCAGACAGAAGAATAACTGATTGGTGTTAAAAAACTAACTATCCTATAAAATTCATTAAGATCAGAAAAGGTCAGAAGCAAACTAAAAATAATGGTGAAACTAATAATGATAATATAAGAATATAAGGCACCTACAGTGTTACTATATGAGGAGGGGACATCTGAGACCCTATGTAAGATTCTAAATAAAGCAGGAATTAAAGTGCCATTCAAACCCTCCTACAAACTCACTCAGGGACAAGCTCTGTAGGCTACGGGACCTGGTTGACCCAATTAAACAAAATAATATAATTTACAAAATAACTTGCAATGACTGTTAGGTCATTGCAATTGAGTTAGGTCAGCTACGTAGGTCAGTCAAACTAGTAGATCAGGAGTAGCCTGATCATCAGAACATAAGAATTTAGCTGAGATTAGAATGATTGACCGCACGAAGATAAGTAATTTAGAAAAGAACTCCTCAATCACACTGCATATATTAACATACAATAGAGTGTGAGACAGAGTTAAAATTTTCAGAAGTAATATAGGTAGTTGGAGAGAGATAGAGGTTGATTACTGAATCTGTGTTCATCGAATAATGTACACCCAACACGTGCAATACGAATGACTCATCACTCATACCGGTAATATGGAAAATACTACTACCAATCGAATCAAGAGATGAGAAAAAGCGTAAACATATAAACGAAGTTGGAAAGTTGTTAGTAATGGCTTGATATAATTATGAGTGGTAATAAATTGTGCTCGAAACGTGGTTATCAGTACATATTACTGTATAACACCACTGTAAGACTTTATCAAGATAAATTTTATCCAGAATTTATTGTTTTTTCCTGAAAAGTAGTCATTGTTTTCGAAGATTTATTTTTGTCCTATCAATTCATTGACAATGTTGCTTTGATTGATGTCAAATTGAGGTAAAGCCAATTTATGCATTCCACAAACTATACGAATGCTAACGTATCATGCCGTAGAATGATGCTCGAAATGGAAACAGAAAGTTGGATGTGGGTTCGAGGTTGATATGAACGAGATTTTATAAGGTGGAGATGAGGCTAGCTAAATAAGATTGCGAACAACCGGATAAAACCGCAGTGTGCTACTGCTAATATATAATAACAATGATAACAACAAAGGATTGGTTAGTTAGACCTCAGTTACCTGGAGCAGGTTGTTCATGTACTAGGCGATGACTCGCATTTATTGTATAATACCGGGTGATGATACTCTAGCGTGGAGAGGGGCAGATTTACAGGAAGCTGCTAAAACTAAAATCAACATTTTAAGTGAACCGCTCCAGAACTAGAAGTGTTCATTCTTCAAATTTGGATTTCGCTTACGTCGTGGTCATGAAATAACTTCATTGGACAACCTAGTTTAACGCTGGGCCAATCGCCAACCAGTCGGAACAGTAAATTGTCCGCTGACCTAGCCAACTTTTAAAGTGGTTAAAAATGTATAGATATATTATGTGTTTTCCTTAAAAATAGTCCGTTACCAATTCTCTTATCTTCTATGGTTAAAGTATTACCTAGTTGAAGTAAGCAGAGACAGATTTAGAACTAGAACCCAATGGGTGAAAGTTAAGTACCATAGGCAATGAATGAAATCTTCTTAATAAATAGTCCGGTTGTGATCAATTTTAAGTATCCATAATATAATCAATTTTACTAGTTCGACTAAATAAGAGAGATTGTTATTATTCTGCTTCAAATCACCGAAAATACCCATTGAGTCATGAAGAAAATAAAAGACTAATTCAGCGAAGGAAATTTTCTTTCTCGACGAAATCATCTTTACAGGCTGGCTGTACAGTCGTAGTTATATTTACCAAAAAGCATATAGTAATAGTCCATTATCGAGTAATAGGGGGTGACATAATCTATATAATTACTCAGAAGTGGCTTTAGAAGTAAGAAATAAAAGTTGTAAATAACGTGGTACTCAGCGGCACAAAATTAGAAATTTGATAAGGTAGTTGAGTGTCAGCTTAAGAAGTGCGAAGAGGATGTGAAAATGTACAAAAGGAAAATATGAAAGTGATAATAGTGAATTAATTACCAAAAGTAAAAGCAAACTAAAACTAAAATTTAAAAAAAGAAAATATCAAAATTTTTTACAGGGAACGACTAGTGAAGACGTTAGGACCAAGGTAGAATATAAGACCGGACAAACTTTTTCTGTATACAGAGTTCTGGGTTGTACTGAGGAATTGCCAGCGCCTCCAACGTACACAAAAGCCGCAACTTGACTCTGAGCTACGTTTCATTTTCTACAGCCGACAAATGATCAATGGATGTGTGAAGGTTAAACTGCCGCTTTGGGCCACTTCAATGTGTATTTATAAATTCACCTACTGCTCCTGCGGAGCTAGTTATATTGGTCACACAAAGCGCACACTTTCCAAATGCATCTCTGAACATTATCCATCATGGTTGGCAAAAGGACAATACAAGGCAATTGCTAGCAGAATTCTCGAGCACTTGGTGAACTCAATCAACACAGCTCCACCAGTCGTCTTTCAAGATTATCTGCAAGGTAAGGCCGGATGGTACAAAGGTAGTCAGGTTTCGGCTCTTGTGTATGGCGGAGGCGCTGGAAATTCGTCATTACAACCCCGAACTCTGTATACAGAAAAAGTTTGTCCAGCTTCTTATTCTCTACCTCTTCATTAGTCGTTCACTACACGGTCTCCTCAGTGTATTTTTCCGTACATTTCCATTTCCTTCTGCATAACTGTTAAGCCATAGGTTCTTAGTTGGTTCGTTGCCAGATTTTCTTGTTGTTTATCCTTCCTAACCAGCCATCTTCTCACCAGTATCGAGCCAGTGAAGGTAGCCATTGATGAAAGTCTGCGTCAGCCAGTTAGAAAAGGCTCTTCATGACTGGTACGCTAAATCTCTGAACTATACAGAAACAGTGACTTACTGGAAATGAGTGTTGAAAATCCGGATCTTGTTCGTTATGCTGAGTGTAGTAGATTTCCACACTGATTTCAGAGTAGTGGAGGCGTGTCACATGCTTTTTCCTATCCTAACTCGTCATTTCCGATTACCGTGCTACTCGAAGACCTGGAGCGTGATGTCACCCAGCCGTCTGCTCAGTATATATCCGATCAATTCCCTTCGACATGTATGTTACGCAATAGGTTTTTGGTTAATTCGTTACGAGAATCCCTTTTCGCGTATGCTTTCTGGCCATCTGATATCTTCGGTATCGAGCGAAGACAGGTGCTGATGAAAATTTTACAGTAGCCTGTTTGAAATGATTTGTGTAGCACTGGCGTCAAGTCTATAAAATATATACATAGAAGCACTAACTATAATGAACGAATATGGGTAGGAGAGAGGATAAATAGGTGATGATTAGTGGGAGGGGGGATTTCCATAGTCTTCATTATAACAAGGAGTAAAAACGTCTTCATTACTGTGAGCAATTTTAATCTGCGTTGCCAATAGTCATCAACTATTGATTCTTAACATCTGAAGAACTTCAGACATGTATATAGTCTACCCTATCCTATCTCAATCCAGGATGCAAATTTCGTCCTGTTTGGGACTGGTCACTGGATGTGCCTGCATTCCGCAGTGAGGGATGATGTTCCCACCGAGGCTCGAACCCAGTACTCATAGTTTCGAACGCCAAAGTGTTATCCACTAGACCACTTAAGCCACGAGTTCCACCTCTTGTGCATCGGATTCCACTGCCAGTCACCATCCACCAATTAAATTTTGACTAGATATTCGGATTTTCTCGTTGTACAATCGTATTGAAACGCTGGAAGACGAAATACTTGGTTAAAGAATCTTTATTTGCGAAATTAGTATCTCTGCATAGCTAAATTATGTACACCTTATCTATCTTCAACGCACCATTTACGCAGACCTTACGTGTTGTGATACTTCTCACCTTCCTTCATGTTGTCTTTCTTTTTGTTCCTTTCACGTTGTTTCCCATGTATCTGCGCAACGCTGTATTATTTGCCTGCTCTGAAATCAACTGTATCTCCCTGCCAATTGATGTTTTTTATGCCGGTCGATGAATGTGTGTTTATATACTACTGATAAATCTTATCAGTAGCACTCACCTCAGTATGTTGTCGCAAGAACACGCCATTTTGT